GGTATACAAAATGGAAGGCCTGTAGTGTTTATTCTCTTACAGTAAGAATTTATCAATTTTTTTGAGGAATTTATTTGAGATTTTCTGGTTTTTGTTAATTGTGCAATAGAAAAATAATCATTAGATTAATTTTCTAAATAGTCATTAGAATAGTCGACTATTCGATAAAATAATCGTCAGAATAATCGTTTTAAAAATAATCGTTTACCCCCAGCCCTACTGGAGGAGTGAAAAGATGCGCAGCAAGCATTTCATTTGTGGACGGAAATTACAGGAAACGTGGGTTTAGAGGTGGGGAGCGCATGAAGAGGTGGGAGAATGAGAGACAAATATGTCCGTGTTAAAAGTCTCTTATATACACAAAAAAGCACAATATAAACACACTATCTTGGACCGGATACATGACAGGATACCACAGAACAGCACTACGCCCTTGGTTGTCCTGCCGGTGTCGGTACAAGATCTGCTCGGGTGCAAAATTGGCTCGGCTCCGTCGACTGCCGATGACGTCTAAGTAGTTGACTGGCTGAACATGAACCTTACGGAATTACGCAATCACGTTACGTTGGTCCAGGCAAATCTTTCTGTTGGAAAGATGGACAACTTTTACAAAGAAATCCATCATTACCTCTTTGAAAATACACTTTTAGCATAGAGCTGCATGTATATTAGGACTGAACGATTAACTGCATGTGCAATTAAATTGCGATGTGACAAAAGGAGATTTTCTAATCGCAAAGGCTGCAATTTGGCAGCGAGTGGTTAGCGCAATGCGGTTGGCTCTATACATGGAAAAACCCATAGGAATGCTAATGCTAATATCGCCGATTACATTATTACAAATTATGAATTAGAAACGTGCCAAATTATTACATTTGGAGTCTAATAGAAAGTAAAACTACCATTAATCAAATAAGTACAGACAGGTATTTTAGTAAAGTCAGAAAACTTTTAACTCCAGAGTTTTGGCTAGCAGCGATGAGCCTAACTATACGCATGGACAAGACGTCAAAAACTCTAAACACAAAATACTTCAATAAACGGGACACACTTCTTTCCTGCAAATACAATTTCACAGGTGTTGCTAATACCTATGATTCTTCAAGGGATGTGCTCAAAGAGGAGTTCAACATTATGAATACAATATAGTGTTTTATTTTACAAATACCATTATAAACACAAACTTACGTCTTAAGAAACATTATTTTAATAACGAAACTGCTAAATTCTTTCCAACAGTATAGATGTGTAGCTTATTTTGTCCGAGTGGGTTTGCCGTACTTTGACGTCATCGGCAGTCGAAGGACCCCGAGCCGATCTTGCACCCGAGCAGATCCTGTACCGACACCGGGCAATTGCTTTGCAACACTCTCCAGGAGACAGAGAAGTATGAGAGCAAAACGCTTCCGTCAATCCGTGCGTGTCTGTCCCTTGCGGAGCTGACAGAGAAGCATAAACCAGGCTTTAGCATGGAACTCATAGGGCTAGCTTTAGCATTAGCAATTAACGGCAGTCATTTAAACACTATTAACTCATTCACTGCCAGCCGTTTCCTGATCGCTAACGACCTTCGCTGCCAGCGTTTCTCACCGTTTTTACTGTTTTTTAAGAGTCACAGAACGTTGCGCGCTAGGATGATGTTGACGCCAAAACAACCAAAACAAAGCGGAGACTAACCTCTTAAATCAGGAAGAATCCGTGTGTTTCGAGCATTATCTGTTCTTTCATAATCCGTTGTCGAATTGTGATCGGAAGACGCTTTTCCGGTTCGCGCCTCACTTTTTTTACAGGAACGGCCCAAAACGATCTCCAACTACATGGATGGTCTGCTTCCTGATCATGTGACGTGTGACATATACGGATGAAGATCGGCTTCAGGGCTGAGATGTTTGTTCTCTCAGCGCAGGGGCTCGTTCTGATGCTCAAACAGTAAAAAAAATGCAATGACGACTTTAGTCATTGGCAGTGAACGGTTGGATCTAAAATGACGACTTTAGTCGTCAATGGCAGTGAATGAGTTAAACATGCTAACAAATAACAAATGTGACTGACAGACTACCTAACATGAAAACAAACTAGTGAACATAAATATAACAAATATTCGCCTTTAGTACTTACTTTTACAGTCAGGTCCATAAATATTGGGACATCGACACAATGTTAACATTTTTGGCTCTATTCACCACCACAATGGATATCAAATGAAATGAACAAGATGTGCTTTAACTGCATACTGTCAGCTTTTATTTGAGGGTATTTACATCCAAATCAGGTGAACGGTGTAGGAATTACAACAGTTTGCATATGTGCCTCCCTCTTGTTAAGGGACCAAAAGTAATGGGACAGAATAAGAACCATATATCAAACTTATACATTTCAATACTTGGTTGCAAATCGTTTGCAGTCAATTACAGCCTGAAGTCTGGAAAACAGACATCACCAGATGTTGGGTTTCATCCCTGGTGATGCTCTACCAGGCCTCTACTGCAACAGTCTTCAGTTCCTGCTTGTTCCTGGGGCATTTTCCCTTCAGTTTTGTCTTCAGCAAGTGAAAAGCATGCTCAATCGGATTCAGGTCAGGTGATTGACTTGGCCACTGCAAAACAGTCCACTTCTTTCCCTTCAAAAACTCTTTGGTTGCTTTTGCAGTATGCTTTGGGTCATTGTCCATCTGCACTGTGAAGCGCCGTCCAATGTGTTCTGAAGCATTTGGCTGAATATGAGCAGATAATATTGCCCGAAACACTTCAGAATTCATCGTGCTGCTTTTGTCAGCAGTCACATCATCAATACATACAAGAGAACCAGTTCCACTGGCAGCCTAACATGCCCACACCATGACACTTCAAGCACCATGCTTCACTGATGAGGTGGTATGCTTATGATCATGAGCAGTGCCTTTCCGTCTCCCTCTCTTCCCATCACTCTGGTACAAGTTGATCTTGGTCTCATCTGTCCATAGATGTTGTTCCAGAACTGTAAAGGCTTTTTTAGATGTTGTTTGGCAAACTCTAATCTGGCCTTCCTGTTTTTGGGGCTCACCAATGGTTTACATCTTGTGGTGAACCCTCTGTATTCACACTGGTGGGAGTCTTGTCTTGATTGTTGACTTTGACACAGATACACCTACCTCCTGGAGAGTGTTCTTGATCTGGCCAACTGTTGTGAAGGGTGTTTTCTTCACCAGAGAAAGGATTCTTCGGTCATTCACCACAGTTGTTTTCCGTGGTCTTCCAGGTCTTTTGGTGTTGCTGAACTCACCGGTGAGTTCCTTCTTTTTGATAATGTTCAAAACTGTTGTTTTGGCCACGCCTAATGTTTTTGCTATCTCTCTGATAGGTTTCTTTTGTTTTTTTCAGCCTAATGATGGCTTGCCGTTGTGGTGGTGTATAGAGCCAAAAATGTTAGCATTGTGTCGATGTCCCAATATTTATGGACCTGACTGTACATCCGTCACGCACAACATATACAATGTTAAACCGGAAGTATGTCCATCATAAATTAAAGGCACGGTCTGGAAGCACGGAACAGACATTAGTTCCGCCCGGCGGAATATTAGTTCCGCTTCCGTATTTCAGACATGCAACAAATGCTGTTGCCGAGAGAGTGGAGCTGCAAACAAATATACACACACAGGCTCAGAACGATTACAAATCAACCTTTTTTGCTGATAAACTATAGGGCTGTAGCGACGCCTCGATGACGTCAACGGCTCGATTCTAAAAATTTGTCGACGTCAGATCCGGTAGTCGACGCACCGCGCCCACTTGTTGCATCCGCAGGAGTTTGTAAATAGAAGAGGAATCTGCCTGTTTTTCCTCTAGTTCACCCTCTTCTCCGCCTTCACTAACATCTCCGCCAAATACCGAAGACCCGGAACAATGTTCGTCCGCTACTAGATTCCTTTCCTGTTTTGCCCGCCTTCGTCTCCCGGCAACGGACAACAACTTCCGTGGTCAGATGTGCTGCTTCGTCTCTACCGCAGATGTAGAAAATCACCGGGAGCGTTTCTCCCTTCATAAGGGAGCTTCTTTCAGACATTAGGAGAGCCGTTTTGGTGGTAGCAGTCTCTCCTCTGTGCTGGTCTGTTTGCCGCTGGGTGTTTTTGGTTTATTTAAACTTGGTAACTTGAACTTAACGTTGGTAAAGCTACTGTTAGCATTTTCGCTAACAGCTTCTTGCGTTGGGATAAGCTGTTACGTTTTGGTTTAGAGTTAATCTTTTTTTGTGGCGTAGATCTCCCTTTTATTACATTTAGAGTGTTGTGGGTTTTTGGTTTCGTTTAAGATATCACCTTGAGTTTGGTTTAACCACCCAGTTTAGAGTTGGACCTTTGGAGATTCTTATTTTGATCCAGAACCCAGTAATCTTTGCCCAGTGGGACATCCCTAGTTATTTGTACTTTTGTTTTAATTCCCCACAGGCAGAATTAGTTTTATTATTCCCAACCTGTGGATGGAAAGGTTTATGTTTTTTTGTAGTTGTAAATAAACCTGATCATCATTTTAACTTTTAAATCCCACGTTATTGTCCCTTCCTTTTTGCACACGAGCCAAACTCCCCAGGAAGAGTCGTAACACCACTCGCCTCACGCACATAAGTGACCAAAACAAAGCAGTATGGAGACACTCTGTCTCTCCGACCACCTCTCAGGCAGCAGCCTGCACTCCCAAGTTCTACATGTCAGCAGAACATAACCAACCAACACAATAAAAGCAGTGTTTTACAAAATAGAAGGCCTGTAGTGTTTATTCTCTTACAGTAACAATTTATCAATTTTTTTGAGGAATTTATTAGAGATTTTTTTGGTTTTTATTAACTGTGCAATAGAAAAATAATCATTAGATTAATTGTCTAAATAGTCATTAGAATAGTCGACTATTCGATCAAATAATCGTCAGAATAATCGTTTTAAAAATAATCGTTTACCCCCAGCCCTAATAAACTATTTAAATGAGTGTCTAATCGTGCTGTAGATACGTGAAGTCAATAATTTGGCACTTTAGTGCATCTTAGTTCAAATTTAAAGATTCGGCCTAAAACTCAGAAAAAAGCTGCTGTGAATTTGGAATTTATATCTGCCATCGCTGTTGGCTAAGAGGTACACTATGATGTTAGCTGCTACATTATTGTGCCACAATGTCATTGTGAGCCTGTGTGTGTGTGTGTGTGTGTGTGTGTGTGTGTGTGTGTGTGTGTGTGTATTTGTTAGCGGCTCGGCCCTCTCGGTCTGCCGGGCAACAGCATTTGTTGCATTTTTCAAACAGGAGGTGGGATTGGAGTAAGACTCTGGTAGGGGTGACTTGCTCTTTAAGCTAGATAAAACTGCTGACTTTGTTTCAGGGCAACCTGCTAACAACTGTTGATCATAGAAGAAAACTGAAGAAGGAAATCAAAGTGCTCCCCCCTTTTCTTTCCCCAGAAGGGGACGCTTTCTTTGCACTCAAGCAGCAGGGGCAACACCGTCCATCTGGCATACATTTACAGAGTACACAAGTGCAATAATAACCTGCTGAGCACTCCCCATGGACACAGAGCAGGAAAGCAAATGCTTGACTTTACATCCAAAATAGAAGTCACCAGAGGCAGCCTCAACAAAAACAGTTTATTGGCACATGTGGCAGGCGATGAGAAGAGGAACAATGGTACATAAAGGGCACACATGTGGATGTTGAGTAAAACAAGGCTCCAATCATACAATCTGCTGCAATACAAAATTAGTTCTATTTTCCTGTGCACATTTTATTCTCTCATTTTGTGAATCAATGTACAATAGCAGCTAATAGGAAACTAACATTTCTAATTCTGCTGACATAAACAGTTACTATGCAACAGTGTCCAGCCGAAAACAAACAGAAGGTAGCCCATAGTGTTGCACTTAGATACACGAGAGATTGAAAAATTGACTTGTTATCTAATGCTTGATTTATGGAGGAGTTAATTTTAGTAATGGAAAGTACTTTAAGTAGCACCGATTGTGACCAATCCTAAATACTGTGCAAATGGTACAAAGGAAATGTCTTTCTTCACACAAAAGTTCATTGTGTCTGTCAACTGTCAAACAAGATGTTGCTTTGAGTGGATTTAGTCATTTTAAAGACAATATTTAAATGAAGAGTTCATGTTTCAGATCAAAGACTAACAAATGCGTTTTACGAATCCATCTTCCATAATCTGATGCAAAGGCAGTAGGAACCGCTTTGTTTCGTTTACGCAACAATGAGAAACTCGCTGATGTGCAGTAGAATCAATGTAAACGGAGATTACATTGCCTGGCATTAAATGGACATCAACTGACTTGATGTAGGAGCTCAGATTTCTGTTTACTTCAACTCAACTGAAGCATCACTAGCGAATAACACGATATTTTTTTTTATTACTGTAGGCTAACATTCGAACAACGTTACGTGCAAGTTTGTTCACAGATTAAATGTTTTATCAAGCTAAAATATGTCCATGTTATGTCTGTAAAGCATCGAAAGATGACAGACGTTCGTGCTGGCCTCAGCTGACTACAGCTAACCTAAACATCTTAATGAAACATGTTCTTACTTTCTTATGGTGGCAAAACAGAAAAAGGAAAATTCAAGCCACCATCAACGTGTTTTAGATGCGCGTCAAAACATTTAGTGAAGTCAATGTAGCTACTACGTTAGGTAACACTGGCGTCGAGTAATCTTTAGACCTAAACAATTGTGCAAACAAACCCATTTGGCTAACATTCACTTCTTGGGAGAACTCGACCACAGATGTTCAACTGTAAACTGAGTAATAATTTAGCAAATGTAAACTAGTTCCTCCCTTCTTCTTATTAGCATTAGAGCTAATTAGCTGACGACAGTTGACTAATGTTGAGCCAAAAGCAAACTTGAACAGGTCACTAACTTAGGTATAACTTCGTCGTTGGAACAGTAGAGTTAAAATGTGCAAGTTGCTTAAAAAGACTGATTATTTTAAGACAAAAACTAACCTTTGATGGAAAGTCCGCCGCTGTTGCTTCCTTCTCTGTTGGATATTTGTGGGTTTTATAGTCAAGAGCCAGCTATTAGGTCGATGTAGCTAACGTAGCTTGCCGTGGTAGCTTAGCTAACATCCGTTAGCCTGTGAGTGATTTGTTTTGAAGAAGCACGGGCTAACGTAAGCTAGCTCAACTTCGCTAACGTTAGTCAGATGTGGCTGCAAAACTGTTAAATACGCAAGGTCCATACGTTAATTTCCTCTAAAAATAAAAAGCGATACGTGTCCTTTCTGATAGACAGGGCAGGGTTTGTACTCACGCATTAAGTAATTCAAACGCGGGGCTAAGTTTAACATGCAAAGCAAGAAAAACTCAGTCATAAATTTCGAATCAAAATGGCGACATTGTACGATGAGAGCGCGCGGCACACGGGGACGAGCATCAGCTTCACTGCTTCGCAAAACATCAGAGCTCACTCACATGGGGTTCAAGCATCTTAATTGTAAATTATGTAATTTCTGACTCGTTTAATTGTCTCTTACTTTTAAAAATGGTACAATAACAGCGCTTGTGGGAATTGTGCAAATGTATGCGACAAAACGACGCTCAAATTAAAACAAGATCTAAATTATGAGACAAACTCATTATGCAGTAACGCAACAAACACATGAAGTCAAAATTATCGAGACGTTATGCGATATATGTCAGAAATAAGAGATTTTAAAAACACCAGTTTAACTTGAAATTAAAGGTGATATGAATGAAGATGAATATAATCTGATTAAATTAAAAATGCCAATACCAAAATATTAGACTACTAGCTTAAATGCTGTTCTGAAAAGTTTAAAATGCATTTACTTCATTTAGAAGTGCAACAATTTTGACACTTTTACAGAGTGTTAGTTTTTTTTATGCATGCGAAGTTAACTGCTCAGTTTATACTACAAAGATCAGAAAAGTGGTTTTATTTTAATGAACGAATTACTTAATATTGTATGTTTATAAATATCATCTTTACAGAATTCAAGGGACCCCCCCCCCCCCCCCGGCCACCCACAATGCATTGCGCTCACTCGTTGGATCCGGTTGGATCATGGACCAAAGTGGTGAGCTAAACGCTAAGTAGGCCCTCTGTTGTCAAAGTTTGTTTTTGTGACTTATTTTTTCGTTTTGCCGCCAGAGTTGCTGCTCTAGTAGTTCTTTAAATTATTACGAACAACCTTCCAGGAATCCGGCTTTGCTGTTGGAGCTTGGTGCCTCTGAAATGCTCCGTTACGGTTTAGGTTAGCTGTGGATTTGTGCTAAAGGACGTCAGTTCACCATTTAACCCTTAAGTTCTAAGTCAGTTGGAATAGTTAGTTGTAACGTTAACTGGAGGTGTTTTCGGTTCCTGTGCCGAATGTGATTAGTTTGATTTTAGGTGTAAATCCAGCGATAGCGTTGTACAGCCTACCTTACCCTGTTTTAGCGCTTAGCTAATTCTTTGGCTAACGGTTTGTAACTTCGTTTTTGTTGCTCGTCCTCAGATTATTTATTGATGTCCGAGACCTTCTTTGTGTTTAGTATTCTCACAAGTAAAGATCAGGGTAAACTGAATTTCGGTTGGATAAAAATAGCCTGGTGTTCTTTCGGAATATTTCTTAAATATGTCAACGTTTCAATCTGTCGCCTTTTATGTGCCTTCGTTTTGAGAATTTTCTCCTTTCTTTACCATAAAAAACACTTTCTTGATAAACTTACGTCACAGATAATAAGCATTATTCTTCAAACCGTTAGATTTATACTTTAATTACATGAGGGAAAGTGTTCCGACACATCAGCAGGCAGAAATGCCAAACATTAACACGCCAAAAAGTAGTTTGAACAAGAACAGAAATGTTTGCTTATTTAACTCATCAGTCGGGTACATTTCAAATAAAGATTTACATAACTTTTGGAACGCAGATGTAATATAATTGTGCTTAATGGTGTGATGCTATCAGTTTTTTGTTTTTATTTTTTGGGTTGTGCATTCGGTGTGTACAGACGGTGATCTTCAAGGGAGCGATGGTTCGGGAAGTTTGGGTGGACTGGATGTTCGCAGACGAATCCCCATCAAGCTCATTTCCAAGCAGCCCTTGAGGAATAAGCCCCAGCAGCGGATGCAGAGGCCTGGCACCAGGCCCTGCAAAAGTGAACCTGGGGAAGATGGTACGCTACCGAGCACATTAAAAAGCAAGTCACCCCCAAATCAACCTTTTTGTGTGATAAACTATATAAATTGTGCTGCAGACACGTGTAGTCAATAGTTTGGCACTTTAGTGCATTTTAGTTAAAATTTTAATTTTCTGACTAAAACTGTCAGTGTTGTGCCGTTGTCAGGTAAAAACTCTGCACTGCATTTGAATTTAAATCTGCCATCGCTATTGGCTAAGAGGTATCCTACAACGTTAGCTGGTACCATATGATGTCACAATGTCGTTGTGAGCATGTGTGTGTGTGTGTGTATTTGTTAGCAGCTCCGCCCTCTCAGTCTGCTAGGCAACAACATTTGTTGCATTTTTCAAACCGGAAGTGGGAGTGGAGTAATACTCTGGTAGGGGGTGACTTGCTCTTTAAACTTTTAAAAAGTAAACTGATCAGGGTTATAGTCACATTTTCTGTAGAATTTTAATTTGGAGGTTGAATCTTTTTATGGTTCATGTTGATTCTGTGCTGCAGGAACTGCACAATTCTGGCTGGACTGTGCTCCCAGCAGAATCCACTAATCAGTCATTTGCTCCAATGCAGAGCCTTAAAAATAACTATTTAGACAGATGCTTTTAAAATAAACTGATTTATACACCTCAGTTAGTAATCATAAACATTGTTTTGTTGAACCTGACCGAAACCCTTCTTCTGAGGGTGAGACAGATTTTGCTGTATATTAACCCTTTGGTGCATGATGGTCACTACAGTGGACAGGTACTCAAAATTGTTATTTATTTGTTTTTGCTATTAAGCACAGCTGTTGAAGACTTTATTGTATTTGAGCCCCTCCATTTGGACTTCAGTAAGTCAAGCCAACATATTTCATGTTCAGAATGCACGCTGTCCACTAAGGTGGACCTGTAATAAATTATTTGTAAATTATAAAATTTTACAAAAAATATTTGTTGAAATTTGTTTCATTCACACCTAAAGATGAATGAAAAAAATTGTTAAAAAAATCATGGCTGAAGATTTCATAATTCATGCATCAAAGGGTTAACTTATAGAATTAACCATTATTCATTAGAATATACTTTATTGTCCCAATTGGGAAATTTGTCATTAGGTCAAAAAAGTTGCACTTCGGTTAGTATAACTGAAAAAAGGAAAAACTACACAGAACCATACTAATCTCCACATTACATACTACTCTTAACAGATGACCTTTGATTATGCATTGTACATAATACACATAGCACATTCCTTAAACATCGAGTACTGCACACTTACACAATCCCACAATACTGCAATTTGAAATTTTCAATCTGAAACATTTTGCCCCAGCTCTATCAGTTGACTAATTGAGTTCTAAACAACAAAATCTGCTTTTATTAATCAGGGTTTTATTGACTTTCTCTTTTCAGCTTTACAATAATACTTATTTTCTCATATTTTGTAGATAAATTCAACTTTAAGCAAGAGGAAAGGTTTGATTGTGGCACCAAAGCTGGCGATGTGTTTGCAAGCCAGCGGAGATTTCCACAACCCCTATTTTGGGACTATAAGGTACGTCAGTGTGGGTTTGCTGACATCATCTTATTATAGTGACTTTCTGTTATTAATATATATATATATGTATATATATATATATATATATATATATATATATATATATATATATACACACATATATATATATATGTGTATATATATATATATATATATATATATATATATATATATATATATATACACACATATATATATATATATGTGTATATATATATATATATATATGTATATATATATACACACATATATATATATATATATATATATATATATATATATATACACACATATATATATATGTGTGTATATATATATATATATATATATATATATATATATATAATATAATAAAGCTGTCCATTGACCTTGGGTTAGTGTACACTGTTGTTTTGCTTTGACTATAAAAGCTTTGTGACTGGATTTGAGTATGTCTGAGTGACAGATACCCATAATTCTACCCATTTGCTTTCCCTACAGTTACATTTAATTGGTGAACGGGATGAAGTACCAATTCATTTCTGTGACAAATGTGGCCTCCCTATTCAGCTGTATGGACGGATGGTATGTACTTTGTTCTTGCTTGCTCCCTTTGGTTGGTTTTGAATCATTTTCTGGACTGAGACTCTCCCTCTCCTCAGATCCCATGCAAACATGTTTTCTGTTACGACTGCGCTTTGCTGCATGAGAAGAAAGGAGAAAAGATGTGTCCAGGGTGAGACATGTTTGTTTTTCATTAGAATGACTTCTCAGATGTTAAGAAATCCTGCTAGAAAGATAAACCCTGGAGAATACTGTCTTGTTTTGGTTTTTTTGTGGCAAAAAGTTTAATGATATGTTCAAATATTAAATCTAAAATAGAAATTTCGTTCATGTAATGAATCAAATGAGTCATTTGACCTGACTGAGGTTTATCAAGTTGGATCTGTTTCTCTGGTAGGAATTTTTGGGCAGGTTCTGAGAGTAATGTAATGTTATTACACTTTTGAGTCACTCACCTTTTGCATCTTGTGTTTAGTCTCACCCTGTATAACTGCACTGATCCAGTTCAGCGCATTGAGCAGAGCCAGCGAGGTTCCCTCTACATGTGTAGTGTCGTGCCGGGATGCAAGCGCACCTACCTGTCCCAGCGTGACCTCCAAGCCCACGTGAACCACCGCCATATGAGGGCATCAAAATCATCCGGTCGTCAGGATCCCATGCACCTTCCACCGCCGTCTGAGGTTTCTGAGCGGTTCCGCGTCCCTCCGCCTCACATGCCCAAGAATCATGTCCACCTCCCTGGCCCGCTCCAGCACGGTGGTCACGACCCCTACAGCCAGCCTCCACCACCGAGTCCTCACGATGGTCCGCCCCCACCTTCTGCCCTGGGCCCCGAGACATTCCGTATCTCCACGGTAACGACTCGTAAACACAGCAATCTAATCACTGTGCCCATCCAAGATGACTCCTCTTCTTCACGAGAGCCCCACTCAAGTGGGCCAGGACCAAGTCAACCCCCTCACCACCACCCTGTAGACTATCCTGGCCAGCCTCCTGTAGTGTCCCACTCTCACCACATGATGGCGCCACCACAACATAACTTTGGCCCACCTCCTCCCCCTCCTCCTCCTATTAGCCACCCTATGCAGCATCCAGGCCAGCCCTCTGGGGCACCACACATGGTGTACAACCAGGCCCCTCCCCCTCCTATCACACCTCCACCTGGGCACATCATAGGTCAGATGCCACCTTATATCAGCCACCCACCCCCAGGACCTCCCCCGCAGCACAGTGGACCCCCTGTTAATGCCCCCCCACCACATCACTATAACCCAAACTCTATGCAGCAGTTTCCTGAGGACCAAGGCACCCTTAGTCCCCCGTTCAGCCAACCAGGGGGGCTCAGTCCTGGGATGTGGCCTGCTCCTAGGGGGCCACCGCCTCCTCGAATGCAGGGTCCCCCTCCCCAGGGCCAGATGCCTGGGCCACACCACCCAGATCAGGGCCGTTACCGGCCTTATTATCAGTAAACTGCTAATGAGGTAAACGGGCATCAGCCAGTTTAATTTCATTCTCATAAAACTTGTCTGAGTATTGTGATAGTAAACCTCAGGGTTACATGATGTAGGACTTTGATTCTGATGAAAAATAAAAACTCCAGAATAAAATGTGCATGTGGTGCACATTCAGTGACCTGTGTTTGACGTCCCACTGAACATACTAATGACTTTGATAAAAAGAATGACTTTTTTTTTTGTCTTTAGTATATACCTGTATATATGTCAGCTGATGTCTTACACACAGATGTTATCGATTCTCAATAAATTTTTATTGCCATGTTTGTCATTTTTGTTGATGTGCCTCTTAACTCAGGAGCAAACCAGATAATTTTAACATTTATAACATCTTACTAGGATTATTCAGTCCTCATGTGAGTCGTGTTGTTGCAGTCTCAATTATTAATGCTAATTCAACCAAGGCCTGCAGGTTTTACTTCACCATGTTTTTGACTGATCACCTGATCCTACTGCACATTAAATTTACTCCCAAGATTTAAGCATGTCCGACACTTAAGATCACACTGGCTGTCAAAAAGAACCATTCTGTAATGCTTTCAAGCTATTTCATTTCTGTGTTTTTATTTTCTTTACCAAAAAGGCACTGACAATTTCTTAATAATTCTCAATAATTATTTGTAATTAAAGTCTACAGCATTAAAGGTTGGGATGAAGTTCAAAATGAAAAATGTCTAATTATTGCAGATGAGCAACTGGCAAAACCAAGAACATCGTATCAACGAACAGCTTTCCTGTTTCCTGCACACTTAATGTTTGCAGCTTGTGCTTAGTTTTATTATTGTGCTGTGCTGCAGGCATAAAATAAAAAAAACAGCCTAAATTTAACTTTCGTACTTGAAAAAAATATTTGAATATTAATTCATTTTCTTTATTCGCTTGTTCCTGTTCATCAATGCAGGGAGCTGGTTTCCCAGTCCATTACTGGACCACACGATCACACCTAGTGACCAGTTGAAAGTGATATACATGTTTATTTTGTCTGTGGGAGGAAACGAACCACAGAAAACAAATACAAGATACACAACTTCCACAGCAGGTGTCTAACCTTGCAGCAGTACCGTCAACTGTAGGCTACCACCACACAAGCAGAGTATATGTAGGGTTCATAATGGTTGTCAAGTCCCAATCACCCTTGTTTTTTACTAAGCCAAATTATATTTATTGTATAAATTGTAATAGTTATATACATTTTAAACTTTAGGTGGGAAGGACATAAACTCCATTTGGAACACTTTTAAATCATCTTCTTAAACGTAATTATTTTACTATAATATTCAGAATTTATTGCAATCAATTTCAGAAATAGAAACTACAGAAGAGTGTAACCAGCAAACACCCAAATATCTGCAATGCAATAAGAAAAATTACAGATTCAAACATCTAAACATTTGCAGCAAATAAAGAACCAGAGTGTTGCACAGCGGCGTCGGTAAATAAGTTGAACTGAAGATTCAGATGATGCATACACATTTTTAACTGTAATGATTTTATTAAAAATGTTTGTCATGATCCGATGTCCCAGGAGGAAATTGGTCCTTTATAGTTTGGTATTTTTTAACTGCAATAAAAAAAGACACAAAACTAATGTTAAACCATTGTGACAATATATATACACCACACATATTTGACTAATCTGCGATGGACTGGCTTTCTGTCCAGGCTGTACCCCGCCTGACTGTCCAATGACCGCTGGAGATAGGCACCAGCACCCCCGCAACCCTATGTGGACACAGCGGGTACAGACAATGGATGAATGGATGAATATTTGACTAATTAGCTTTAAATAATTCAAACGATGCGTTACTTCATACACCTTAAAATGTGCTCACTCTGTAACCAGAATATGACAAATCAGTGCCCTGCAAATTAACCTTTGACCTGCTCTATGTTATCAGCAAGACCTTCTATTTTCAGTGTTAGGGCTATAGGAATGAGGACATAAAATGATTTACTCTTTACCAGGTAATACAAATTTTCAAATCCGACCAATCAGAACAGATTATACATTTGATTAATTATTGAAGAAAAACATGAACATTCAAAATGTATGCAACTTCGGCAGCCAGTGTCTCGACTCGACCTTGCAACAAAGTTTTCTTTCTTTTTTCCGGGTAGAACTCAGGCAATTCCCTCACATGTTGATGAAGCAGCGTGACCAAAAATGGTTAACTGAGGGCGTTTCTGTATGTAACTGACTGAGAACGGACATGAGCACCTGAGTACGCACAGGTGGGATTTATCATCAGATGAGTGCGAGGAACGTGAGTACAGGAGGCCACCGTATGTTTCATAAATCAGTATTTGGACCATTTGTAGGCTACAAACTTTCTAAATTTCGTTCATAGGAATTAATTTAGGAATCTTTCTATGAACGTTTGATGACTGAGGCCCCAGGACTCTAGAAGGCGCTATATCAAATACGTACAGGCCGTTTACCATTTTTTATTTACCATTTTACAAGTGGATGTTAAACCTCAAGGTCAGAACATAGTAGGTTCAGAGAAATTACATACATACAGTAAGTCCCTTCTGCTGTAATAAAGTTCACATGGACAATGTGTCCACCTACAATAAAACATAACCTTTCTTTCTTTCTTTCTTTCTTTCTTTCTTTCTTTCTTTCTTTCTTTCTTTCTTTCTTTCTTTCTTTCTTTCTTTCTTTCTTTCTTTCTTTCTTTCTTTCTTTCTTTCTTTCTTTCTTTCTTTCTTTCTTTCTTTCTTTCTTTCTTTCTTTCTTTCTTTCATGAAGAGCGATGTGTCCTGGTTAATTCAATTGCAGTTTTAGTTGTGTTTGGAGCACATAAAAAAGGTTTATATGGTTTTGTAGCTCAGGCTCTGCAGTATTTTAGAGGTGCAGCTTGATGATATTTATTGACATATAGGCATTAATTCTGATGCAAAACTTTTTCGACCCCCAACTGGACGGTGCTCGGGCTCAAGCCATCATTTTTTATGTGTTATTTTTTTTCTAATTAATTATTTGTAATTAACACGTTAAATTCCTAGCTGATAAACAGTCAGCATGGTGGTGGAGGCATGAGGGTTTGGGTTAGTTCTGCAGCTACATCTGCACCTAAACTACACTGAACACCAAAATGTTCTAGACTAAATGGACAGCAGCGACCTTAAACAACTGGTGTGGGGAAAATGTAGGCTGGGAAAAGGTCAAGTGATGAGTTCCTTACCACCCAGGCTTTACTTTGGCCATGTCTTTGTTTCTCATATACATGCAGCATGGCATCGTGTAGGGTAGGGAAAAACATGGAGGTCAGAATCTCATCATCAAAAAACATGCAGCTGTGCAGCTTCTCCAGGATGAAGGCTGGTAGGCAAATGAGCAGTAATTCAGTGAAGATATTCAAGGGTGCAATTTTGAGCGAGAAACATGTTTTCAACGCATGGATAATATGATGATGTTAGATCATGCAAACTCACCATCACAAGAAACTATGTAAACATCAACCTGAATCCGGATAAACTCTTTGAGTGCCTGTGGAGGAAAGCAAACTGGTGATGACGGAAGGGCTTAAATTATGAGTTTGTCAGGATGTTAGTTTAAAACAAGAATCAAAACTACATTATCTTGTGTTTTTTTAATTTAACCTTCATTTATCCAGATGAGTCGATTGACAACTCATTCTCATTTACAACGATGATCCGACCAAGAGGCAGAGCAGCAGATACATTATTAGCTTTACAACAAGAAAAACAGATAAGATAAAAACAAACAAGATAAAAAGAAGATAAAACAGTTAGACTCAAAGACAAAGGACTGTTCTCATTTGCAATATGTGCAAGCAATCAAAAGAGCCTTAAAACCATCTTTAAGTACCAGAAGCACATTGATCAGGAACTACTGATTGCAATGAATTATTGAAGGTAGATGATGGAATGTAGGTAGTGAGCTTCAGTGATTTTTGCAGCTCATTCCAGTCATTGGGAGCAGCAAAGTGGAATGAGGAGTGGCAAAAGGAGGTGAGAACTTTTAGAATAACCACAGAGATTAAGTTACTGGAACGTAAATGAAGCTGGTCGTTGGAAGTGACGAATGATGAGAGAAGATATGACGGTGTTCTACCGATGATTGTTTTGTATATAAATTGATACCGATGTAACAACCTGCGAGAATGGAGTGATGGCCTAAAGATTTAGTACAGATCACAATGATGAGTAGTGGAAGGAGCACCAGTGACTAAACAGATTCCTGAGTGATGATAAATGATATCGAGTTTATGAAGAAGTTTTTTGGAAGCAGTCCAATAAATGATGTCACAGTTATCTAAGATGGGAAGGATTGTCATTTTGACCAAGGTTTGCTTTGCAGAATTAGTAAAGGATGAGCTGTTGTGGTTTAGAAACCCAATTCTTGACTTGACTTCAGAAAGTACTGAATTAAGGTGAAATGAAAGCCAGATCCCGAGATACTTATAGAACTGATAAGCTGTAGTTCTGCACCATCTAGGGAAACAATACTACGGTGGAAAGTTGACTGCAGTAAGTTACGGTTAAAGATCATGAACTTTGTTTTACTTGTGTTTAAATAAGGATGAAGGTTGGAGAGGGCATGTTGAAGACAATTAGAAATATGCAGCAAAACACGTTGGTCTTGGCTGCTGTTGGACATAAATACCATTTCTCCTAAATCAGACTACCAAGGAAGTTATATGTATTACCACAAAAACCTCTACATAGGGTAATTTTCATTTCCATTTAGAAGGCAGAATTTTAACTTCAACCCCATATCACATTAGTCAAATAACCAATCAGGAGCTAGGAGAATGGATGTAGTCAAAGATAAAAGGCTGTTTTTACCGATTTGAGTCCTTTCAAAGCAGAAATGTCCAAGAAGGAGACAGCAGAGAAGTCCAGGATCAGACTGTGGAGATCCACTCTGGGAGCACTGATGTCAGAAGGAAGTTCAGCATTCCAGTTTACTCGAAATGGAAGGTCCCTTAGATCTGACGGCAAATCCAGCTCTTCCATCATCACTTTAAAGCCATCAGGGGATGTGTAGAACAAATCCATTATTCCTTTCTGTTTGACAGAAGTAGGGGAACTACAGTTACACCTGTGGTGGTAAGCCAGCTTTCTCCTAACAACAAAGTTCTGATGCCTGCACAGAATCGTCTTTATGTATACATTTAGAAAGAGTTTGATAAAACACGTTACTAAAAATGTACAACGCAGTAACATGTTCAAGAGATGCTGGGCTTAGAAGAATTGGAGATAAGGATGGGTAGACACCTTTCTGCTGCTGTCCCACCTCTGTAATGTCCTTATCTTTCTTCTGCAACTGTTTCTTTATTTTTCTGATTAACTTGTTCCTCTTCCGCAAAACCCTCAGGGGGTTAAACCCAACCTGGAACATAGAAGTTTGCAATTTGTATATTGGTTTAATCATGTACACAAAATCCAATCCGAAACGGTTGGGAAGTGATCAGTTGTGTCATACGTACAGCTTCTACAAGCTTGGTCTTGATGAACTCAATGTTGGCAAAGAAGATTGGTGAAGGTATCCGAAAGATTTTTACTCCTTTTGGTTCAAATGTCTAAAAACACGAGAACAGGGTCCACTGACACTACTTTTAACATTTTTACTTCATTTATGATATTTACCTGCTCATAATCTTTGCGATCTCTGTACAGGTCGGTCCCAGGGATGCTGGCCAGAGTGGAACATCGGGGGCTAAAGAGACACAGGAAGTGTTCAAGACTGTTTTGAGATCAAATGTTCATCTTTCAGGGAAAGATACAAAAAATGTTGCCAAACAATTTGCGACCTCACCCATTTTTAAGTGACCTCTACAAGCAACCATTGTCAATGAGACTGCAGGCTGATTAGCTGATTAAACAGGTTTATAAAAAAATAAAACATTTTGCTAAAGTTGAAAAATAATTCACCTCTTTTGATGTCAGACCTCAGAGCAGATGAGGCAGACTCAGGACATTTTTATGGTCCACTTTGGCCCGTTAGTACCACCTGAGCCTAGCTTAAACACCACAGCCTGCCCAAGTGTTGTTGCTGACCATGTCCGTCTCTCTATGACCACATGGACCCATCTGCTGATGGCCACTTCCAGAAGGCACCATGTCACAAAGCTTAGGTCATCTTTAAACTGTTTTTTTGTACATGACGATGACTTCCCTAGACTAAACATTTTAAAGAGGAAAAGATGTTCAAAATAGACTTTTATTGGTGAGCTTGCAACCTTAGATTGTTGCTTTATTCCAATTGGAAGAATTGTTACGTCACAAGTTTTGTAATTGCGAGGTTGCAGAGCAGTTTAGATTGTTTCCATTGTTTCAATGTTGTTTCAATTTTTCTTCTTCCGGCTCTTGGAGAGTACAGATGCTTTTTTCCTCCTCTCCTCCCTATCTTATCCCAAGGCTCTTTGTCTGTCTCTGGGTGTACGGCGCTTCTGCATTTTTTTCTGGAAAACTGGAAACTGAAATTACTAAAATGGATCTGGTCAGTTGGTCTCTCAACGCGATTGACAAAAATTTTTCAACGATGAACGGGAGAAGGGGCACCCGGATGCCCCTCTGGGACAGAGCCAGTTGGGCATGTCATGGACTCCTGGAAACAGTGGAACTTGGTCTGCCTGTCTCAGCTGTCTGTAGAGGATTCTGAAGACGTCTGGATATTCGTGGTGTTGGTGTCAGGTTTCTTGCTCTTTGGCCTGGGAGGTTACCTGGCTTAACGGAAAATTAACGAGCTGTCGACGAATATTGGCTCGCTCCCGTAGCTCAGAGATAAATTACACCGCGCTGCAAATGCACAGACTCATATAGTTGTCAAGATGAGTCATAAGCTTGGAACTTTGGCTGAGATTCAGACTCTGGCACAAAAGGTGGATACCATCAAGGAGAAAGTTGACGGGTCAGCGCGGATTGGGATAGATTAATTATGCCATTATTGGATTTAGAGGGGTTGAGGACCAACGGAACTTTAAGACAGAGAGGAAATTGTCTCTGTCTGGCCCCCAAAACAATTTCTTATCTGAATCTGGTGCCCTTGAGCCTGTGAGGCTGAAGCAAATACTCCCCCCTCAGAAGAGATGTGGAATGCTGCCGTTGCCATGGCAACTCTGTCTCCCTATCCAAGCCTGGGCGGGACTGTGACCGGAGAAGGCTGCTGAATCGTTCCAGGAGTCACTGTGCTCTCTAAATCCTACGACCTCCTTTTCCTGTCCAAACGGAGGTGACGAGTGCCGCTTGTCGTGGCTGCATGCACTGACGTACGGAGAGTCCCCAATCCTACAGCCCCACCTAGTGGACACTTATGTTGTGTGATGTCTGAAGTCTGTTGCATCTCTGTCTGAGGTGTTTTTTTACATAGCGAAGCTGCCCTCCCTCTGGAGGGTAACTATGAAGTGCCTTTTTTTCCCTCCACCTGACAATCCGCATGTAAACCCTCTGATCTCTATTAAGGTAGCGCAACACGGGTTGCGAATGACCACAGTCACCAATTCTTGTCATGTGTCTATGTCTATGTATGTTTGATCTCCGAATTGTGTGTACTGAAACTCTAATTTCCCCCTGGGATTAATAAAGTATCTTTGAATTGAATTGAATTTGAATCAAGTAAACATCCATCTACGTAGGACTGACACTAATGGAAAGGTACCTTTTAACAACGAGGGGATGAATCCCTGCACCTGTATTATCTGATTTGAACCTTTACAGAAGCTCTTGACCTGTAGGATCCAGCATCTATCAGGGCGGTCTCATTAGAACTAGAAATAAAATACTGTATATTATGCTTTCTGGTATGTGTTCATCTGCAACAAAACAGGTTGTCCTGAAACTCGGGGAGTTTTATCTTCTGATCATGGACGTAATTTTTGGGGGGGACAGGGGGGACATGTCCCCCCCCCCCATTTTTTCCAAAGTCCAGTTTTGACCCCTGCACTTTTTACCATCCAAAAACAATATTACGCTATATTAAATTGACACTGGTTGAGCTCTAGGACCAAGAGGAAAACAACCGTTTATGTTGAAGCCTGGTTCCCATCAGAGCATACTGTAAGGACACCCCCCCCCCCTCCCTCACTTCTAAAGTGATAGTTACGTCCATGCTTCTGATGAACCATCATTGCTGCTGTTAAGGGTCTGAATTATGTATAAAATCTGACATTGTTCTGGATACTTTTATCTTGATTTTCCTTCAACTAATTTCATCAACATGGTTCATGTAGCTGAATCTATTTCTACGTAAAATGATGTTTATTTATTTTTGGTTGATTATTATTTGTTGTATTGATCCTTTTTGGCAATAAATCTTACCAACAGCAGAATACTGAAGCAGATTCTGGAACATTTTGGGGGGAACCACCAACCACACATTCAGCTGTGTTGCGTATTACAAAAACAACCGATTCTTTAAAACTATCCCAGTAGTACAGCAGATTTATCCGGCTTTTCAACTGTATGAGATTTGTTGCCAAGGAGCATCAAGTGATCAAGCCACATTTCAATTTAATTCAGCCATTTTCAGTAGATCTTGGGAATTCCATGTTTACAATTGAGCCCTGAAGATGACAGTAAGCAGCTCCACGCCCAAACCTAAGGCCAGACCAAGATCCAGTCCAAGTAGGATGGCGCCCAGGCATGTTGCCACCCAAACCACCTGCACACAAACACAGTCAAACAATAAAAAAGGAAAAGTGCTTTGATTAATAATTAAACAGATACCGAATACCTACGCATTCTGGCTTGTCCCTCCACCACAGGTATACTATTTCCCTGAACTGCATCAGCATCCCCTTCAGGTTGACTATCACCAGTGCTCCCAGTACAGACTGCAGACAGATTAAACAACAATCAACTTCAAAGTTAAATCCATAGGGCTGATCTAAAAGTGGCTTGTCTGAGTGTACCCTCATTCTTCATCTTCAAAAGTATCCAGTCTCTAAGATTTCATCCTAGTTCATGAGAAAAATACTTCCTAAATCTTCATACAGACATCTATTTTACATTATGTTCATTTAAAGTGTCCATATCATGGAAAATAAACTTTAGGAGCTTTTTATTGTATGAAATGTGAAATACTCCCAACCCCTTTTTTGGCTGCCTTCATGCATTTTCTTGTCCCAGCTGCAATTTGGTCAATGTAAACATTTTTCCTGCATCCAGGAGAAAGTGGCCGACTTGCCTCATCAGGAATTTCTCCTCCTCCTGAATCTGGTATGGTCTCGGTTCTGAAACCAGCATTGGTGACAAAACGCCTCCATAAAAACCATACATCCTGTCTACAAAGATTCACGTATAATAGCCAGCTCAGGATATGTATATTAAGTGACTTTTGTTTTGTAACAGACTTGGTGGTCCAGAGGTTGGAGGGCTGGGCTGGCAGTGTAGTTTTGCACAGGTGTGCCTCCCGATCGGGGCAGTACCTTCACTCTTCTTTTGTAGCTACACTTGCCAGTCTTATATTTTCAACACTTTATTGGTAAACTGTTTTAAATAGAAGGACTAACATGGTTTTCCCCTTTGTTTATTTAGCCAGTGCAGTGGCGGTTCTACATCGAATTACTCCCCGGGCGAGGCCCCCTTTGAGCGCCCCCCCCCCCAACCCCCCCCCCCCCCCCACCACCACCACCACCACACCACACCACCCCACCTGCATGAACACACGCATGTTTTCTACAAACAGGCATGTTTTATTAGAACGACTATTGAACATTCATTTTTCTAAGTTGCACATATTTACATTAATTACTATGAAGTTGTCAGAATGTAAAGCACTATACATTATATACTGTATCAAAATATATAGAATCAAATATACAAAAACAAACAATAACTAAATATTAAGAATATATGAACATAATATATAATAAATATTCTAAATAGCAAAAATATTTCACACGTAACAAACTAAAGATAATCACTACAGCATTGCACTTAGAATAGAAAACACAAACTAAAATTAAAACCTAACCTTGATGCAAAGTCATCAATAATGTCATCACATGAAATCTGCTCCCCTACTGAGTGATTGATACTAATCAGAGCCAGGTTAGTGAGCCGCCCCTGAAACATAGATGACCTCAGGTATGACTTGATCAAGTTTTGAAAAGCTCCTCTCAGCTTGAGCCACAGTGACTGGCAGAGCAGTCCAAAAGTTGGGGTAGATCTCCAACAGATCTTTATCATGATCCATAATATTTTAGAATTGCCTCTGAAATTGTAATTTAAACTGACATAAAAAACTGTAGACTACCAAAAATGCCAACTTTTACAGAACAAATCATGTAAAAAATAATCAGTGCAGCCATCTGCAATAAATAAACAGGATAGTTAGTGGTGACTGGGGAGTTTTCTTCTGCTTGTAGAATTGTTTTATTTATTATTATGTGAACATGATCAACATGTGTTTGTTGTTGTTCAGGCAGGCCACGGGCTGCAGTGAGCATTTAACAAATCCTAGTTTGAATCAGTAAAAAACGATTCAAGGACTTTTTTCAAACCATTTGAATATTCGTTTAAATATTTCAGCCCTATTAGCTCTGTTAGCAATTAGTTGACCGCATTTAACCGTTAAAATCCCAGTTAACTGGTTCAAAAAATTGAAAACATGCATCATGAGAGCTACATACCTTTATCTTTCTGCTCTTTTTTTCTTTTTTTCCCCCTGAATGGGGCACCTGGTGGTTTTAGCCTTTTTATGTTCATCTCTTCTGTTTGTCTCCTGACTCAGTAAGTTTCCTTTAGTCGGGACTAAACAATTTGACCTTGATGGGGGGTGACCACAAAATCGTTTTGTTTTTCCTTTTTTTATTCGGCCATTTCACACAATTCAGAGAAACCTGAAAGAATGATAGGCCTGTGTTTATGATATTATGAATGAAATATGGAAGAACGTTAAGATGTGATTGACTTTAGCCATGTTAATACAGTTGATTCAGCCCCTGCACGCTCATTTCATTTGGGAAAGACGCAGAGGTGAATTCCCCCGCCGCACCCCTCCCCTTCCTGTTCTTTAGACACACGGAGCACGTGAACGTTCTCAGTCAGCAGGAGCGCCTGCAACTGCAGGGGGCGCCAACTTGCTGTTTCCAATCCAGACACTGTCATAAGACAGATAATAGAAAACCTCGGTGCGGCGCAGATTTCCTTTTTTTTTTTTTACTCCGCGCTTGTGCGCCCCTTTTGTGTCATGAAAAAATGCCGCCCCGGGCAACTGCCCTGTCTGCCCGTGCCTAAAACCGCTACTGAGCCAGTGTAAGTCCATGTGAGGTGAGCAGAGTATCAAATAACTTGCTACTTGGAAATGACTAAATTCAAAGATCTTTAGAGACACCAAATATTTTGCAGAAAATAATAAATAAAACTAAAATATATAAGAAATCTGCTTCAGTTAGTTAAATAAATGATTGCCAACTGTTGGGCACCGAGAGTTGAACTGGTGCCAACACACAGCAAAACAAGATGAAAAGCTGTTGCTTTAACCACTGAACTACCAAGGCCACTTCTGTAGAGGGCTTGCCTAAGATTCTACGTGCATTTAGTGGGAGCGGGTGTGGGCAGAGCTTTACTGAAACAAACCGCTTCAGTTCCGGGTATAAATTCAGACTGACAAAAATCACTCATATTTAAGATAAATTACATCTCAACAGTGCCAATGGTAATATTTGATCATAGACTGCGCCTACATTTGGTCTCAAAGGTTTAAAATAGCATGAACTTGACCCCTGGATTTTGAATGGAGATTCTCCATTTTGTTATTTACTCATAAATATCCATAAAATTCCATTTTTAATATTCTTGCAACATGAATTTGATTCCTTGTTTATAAAATAATGCATGAATATGTTGGAAATTTTTGAAATAGCTGTTTCTAGATGACTTTGGTCCTGGTTTGCATTCGAGACAGGGAAGTAAAAGCTATTTCTCCCAACAGAGGCCGTTTGGGAAGCTGTCTGCAATGTATAAAGTATTTATCTCTGGCTTTTACACAGATTCACACTTCAAAGTAGACTGTGTATCCCTTTAAACAAATTACACTCTCCTTTCTGCAACATCAGTCTAGTAAAAGTGATACTCTCACCCTGGGAAGTGGCTCCAACAGGAAGCCGAGTGCCACTGTTACAATCATGGCCATCATAGCGGAGATCAGCCCTGCCACCTGAATTTAGGGTAGGGTGACATCATCAGGGGAGACACAGTCTTAAATACATCACGCTGCAGATAACCAAGGCTGCTTTCTCACCTGTGTTTTTCCTCCCGAGCTCTCCTGAACCGCAGTTCTAGAGAGAGCTGTGCTGGCTGCAAATGACCTGAAGCTTGCTCCAAATATATTACTGACCCCAAATGCAACGAGCTCCTGAAACAGAACAACATTTGAGCTATCCTCGTTAATGTGAAAGGTTGTCTTTCATGTATAACAAACAATCCCGTGTGGCCCTTTTTATTTACGAAACACTTGACCGATCACAACAACCTTGACATAAAAGCTTGGAGATTGTTTCTTATATTCACAACCAGATATATGAGAATTGTTAAAACCGACTGTCAGTAACAAATTAACTCAGTTTCCTCTGCCCGAGTTAAAGTAGGACAGGCAGTTGCCCTATTTAACTCACCTGGTTGCCATCTATGGTGTAATCATGTTTGATGGAGTAGACTTTAGCAACAGAAAAGGCCACAGCGAATCCCACCATGGCTATAGAGAAGGCCTCTACGGCACTCTCCTGAAAGATCGCCACACTCGGTGAAATGGGAGACTCATATCTGAAAAAGAAGTCTTGTTAAGAAGTTGGAACATCATATAAATAGTGTGTATTGAGCTTTACACGTACCCACTTATCATACGGCCCACAACATCAACATTATACCTCTCATCAAAGTTGAAGCTGTAGGAAACCGCACAGGCTATGATGGTCTGCATGAATTATAAAAATGTATTTTATTATAATACTTGTAAAGATAAGTAATCAGGCTGCTGGTTTGTTACACTTGATTATTTCAGGACAGATAATAAATTTCTGTATTGAACCAAGACAAGTGATCAAACACAGAATGCTGTTTTTAAATGTTGATTTCATTTATTAAGAAACCAAAACGATCCCTGCTCTAAGTGGAAATGTAACTTTCCCCTAAAGCAATAACTGCAAATATTTTTTTCCTTAGTATTGCGCACAGCTTTTATTTTCCTTCGCGTTCACCAAAGAATGCTACAAAATATCTCTAAATGAGAGGTTTTGTTTAGGCAAAGCGAGCCAGCACCATAAATTCTACGACTGTTCAGCTCAAAGAACATAAATATTACAAATGCACCAATTCAGAAGAAAAACCCACGCAGGAGGACTCACCATGATCACCTCTATGGGTACGGGAACAGGCAGCTTGGGTTTGTATCTGTCGTTTAACTCCTTCACAATAAAAACCACCACCATTATCACTATGGACATCACCAGGTCACACATGTTGGTGGAGGTGATCTGAACAAAGATACTTTCTAATGTCTGTCAGAAAGAAGAAAACAATTCAGTAGTTAGTAAAATTACGCTGAATCTGTGTTTAGTGCAGCAAGAGAACATCTTTGTGCGCCTTTAAGTGGAGATCCTCATGTCTTTAACTGGCCAGCTCGAATCACGCAATCTACCCAAAGCCCTTATACAGGTACTGATCCTGATGGGTTATTTTATGCTACTTGGTGTAATGAAACCCTCTTATAATCCACAAAAATGGGTCATTAACTACCAGACTGTGGTTTACATCTTTAAGCTGAAATGTGAATCATCTGACGGCAAAACCATTGACATAATAAAACTCTTAAATATGCAAAACTCTTCTTCACTTGTTCTGGATACTACAGAGTTACAGTGTCGTATTTTCGATGCGCTCTACATAATCCGTTGTGCACCCTGAACTAGGGCTGCAACAACGAATCGATAAATTTGATGAAAATCGATTACTGAAAGCGTTGGCAATGAATTGCGTCATCGATTCGTTGTGTCACAGAACTCTTCCAAAAGCCCCCCCCCTCCCGCCCGCCGTTGCGCGCAGACCATGGCGCAGATTGGAGCAAGTCAGATCAGCGCGAGGGAGAGCCGGCAGGTGTTTGGAAGAGGAACATGGCAGAAGCAGCGATACCCAAAAAAGTAAGAACATCTAAAGTTTGGGAGCATTTTCAGTTCGCGCTGCTGCGAACCGGTTCCGCCATCACTTTCCCGCAGAAACTGTTGATCACACCGGGGCCAGACTACTAGCATGTGGCTTTACAACCACAATGTCCTCGGAAGCGAAAATGCTTTTAAAAGGGAGGGAGGAGTCCTGACTGTTGCTGCAGGCGTGTTGTGTGAGTGTAGTTATATACTGGTTAATGTATTTTTGGGTTCAGTTGCTTTCATGTGGCCTAATGTGAGTCTATTTGGGTTCATTGGAATGATCAGCAGTATTTCTTGATGTGACTTTATGGCAGTTGCCCAGGGCATCATCACAAGGAGGATGGCATTCATTTACTTTTGTTTTATTTGGTATTTTTTCAGTCATTTTTGGAAATGGTGATTAATTTTGATTAATTCACAGCCTATGTTTAATTACATTTAAAAATTAGTTATTTGACATCCCCAGTTATAATAAATGTCTACAGATGAGATCAAACAAAACAGATGAGAATTCCCCAGAGCAAATCACCCCCAAATAAACTTTTTTTGCTAAACTAAATAAACGAGTGTCTAATCGTGCTGCAGACACGTGTCGTCAATAATTTGGCACTTCAGTGCATCTTAGTTAAAATTTAAATATTCTGCCTAAAACTGGCAGTGTTGTGCCGTTGTCAGGTAAAAACTCTGCACTGTATTTTAATTTAAATCTGCCACCGCTATTGGCTAAGAAGTATGCTATGATGTAAACTGGTACATTATGATGTCACAATGCTGTCGTGAGCCTGAGTGTGTGTGTATTTGTTAGCGGCTCCGCCCTCTCGGTCTGCCAGGCCAGCCTTTCTCAAATGGGGGTACGCGTACCCCTGGGGGTACGTAAAGAAACTCCAGGGGGTACATCAGAGAAGCAGACTGTGTCTAAAAAAAGAGCTTGATCACAGCAGTTGCCTCCCTGCCACCAAGGATGAAAAAGATCCTCAGTGAAGCACAAGCCCAAGTGTCTCACTAAAAAGTCTGTAAAAACACTCAGATCAGTGCAGTAATGTTAAGATTTCAGTCTTCTTTTTGATTTTTAAAAATATATTTTGAGATTTACATTTGTTTTTAGCAATTGTTATTTAAAATGACGTTGATGATTTCTTTTAGAGAACAGATATACTATGATCCCAAAAGAGAACACTTTATGTTGATATGCTTTTTATGAGCACAAATCTTTAATTATAATTAGCTTAATCATTTCTTTGGCCTGTATTTGATTTTTTTTAAACATTTCTAGTTTTATATACATATATATATTTTCCAAATAGTTCAAGAGATATTACAAAAAATGTGCAGTGTTTTGCACATTTATGGATTTTTCAATGGATAATCTTATGGTTTTAAATAGTTTTATGGTGACTGTTTTCAATTAATTAATTAGAATCACATTTTAGTGATGAAAAATATTTCCAATACATTTAGTTATGGAGTATTAACATTTAAAATATTCAAAATAGGTATTTTTCCCCAAATGGTTGAATTTTGTACTTGTTTATCAGTTTCAAAGTTTAATAAATCAGTCACTGAAGGCACCTATTTAAGGTCTTGTTTTTTACAACCAAAAATGTTTTTGTGCTGATTAGGGGTACTTGGCTGAAAAAAATATTTCACGGGGGTACATCAGTGAAAAAAGGTTGAGTACCACTGTGCCAGGCAAGAGCATTTGTTGCATTTTTCAAACATGAAGTGGGAGTGGAGTTAGACTCTGGTAGGGGTTGACTTGCTCTTTAAGCTGTTTAACTTGGACCAAGCATTTTAGGTCACAGATAGGTGTAGCTTAGGGTCTCTGTCTAAACACCTTATAAGACAATTTAGGTGATGGCATGTTGTTTTTCTGCTATTGAACTGTTTTCTAATAATGTGTTTAATAAAGTGAAGGAAGGAGAGGAATAACGTTTCCCTAGCTGTTTTTAAAAATGTCCCCATGTAATCCGATTAATCGATTAATCGTGTCGAGACCCCATCCGATTCATCGATTATCCAAATAATTGTTTGTTGCAGCCCTACCCTGAACTCATGACCGCTTTTTTTGAGCCATGGTGGATGCCCCTTTGGACAAATGCCAACTGCATATGATGACCTTTTGTAGTTTGCTGACTCATTTCCATCAACCGTTTTGGTATGGATGGGAAGGAACAGATCGCTAATTTTTCTGTTCCGATTGTAAAACGGGTCCAGACAGCCTACACGGATCACACCAGTCACCCAATCTTTTTGGCCCTCTTCTGTTGTAGATCCTGAAATTTCTGAAGCTGAACGGTTAGAGTTAGAAATCTTAAATCTACCAAAAGAGTCAAATGACTTGCTATAGTTTTAGGAATTCCACCCCAAAAAAAAAAAAAAATTTGCTAACCCCACTGGCAGATTTAAAAAAAAATTGTTTGTTTTAGAACAGAAATAAGATAAAATGTCTAAAGACAATGTGTTTTCCTTTCTTGAAAATAATTTTTGCAGTGTATTTGCAGGCTTAAATGTCAAAATAGAAAAATGTTCACTCTCAGGAAGGTGTGGAAGGTTTTTCTTTTTCTTTCATAACACTTTTTTTGGATAATAAACAAGCTGCATGACGCTGTTTGCAGAGCTCTTGCCTTGCAGCAACTAGGTCACAGGTTCAAGACCCGGCTGCAGCTTTTGTGTGTGGAGTCTGTGTGTTTGCTATTGTTAGAGTGACTGAGTTTGTGAATAGCTGCATATGTCCCTGATGGACTGGGGACCTGTCCAGGGTGTCCCCTTTTGCTCGGTGACTGCTGGACATAAATGCCAGCTCCCCGTGATTCCTGCTTTTTGGAGCTGTTTTAACTGATCATAGTAGCTGATTTTATCAGACCTACATCATCTCTGCTAGTTACAAGAAAAATTAAATTCCAAGAACTTGTCAATTTAGAATTTCACCAATCACGGACTTACATATATGATAGAAAGTGGACCGCTGAATCCAGGAACACTCAACCCCAACACAAACTTGAGCTGTGATACCAGGATGTGGACAGCAGCTGCTGTGGTAAAACCAGACACCAGGGTGTCTGACAGGTATACAACGATAAAGCCCACCTGCAGGATGCCCATCGAAAGCTGTAATGGAGAGGAGCACATTGGGAAAAGGAATCTGGTTCACGAATATGGGAAATCACTGATAATCCAAATTACCTGCAATATCCCCATGAGGAATGTCACAGAGGAGGCCACCAGGACTCTACGCTGGTCTTGGCTTAGACCTTCAAAGTCTGTGATATTTGCATGTGGTCCTTCTTCAGGGACCAGGCGGGTCACCACAGCCCCAATCATCAGACTTAAGACAGGGAAGGAGCCTGTTGGGAAGGTTGGGTGTGGGACAGCAGAAAGAAGCTGTGCAATCTTATCTTATCTCATGTCAAAATGATAAGATGTACAACTGTCCCAGTCATCTTCTGTTATATGTTCGTGCTGGATGACAGAAAACTTGTTTTTCTCTAACAAAATGAGGAAATGTGTGTTTGATTCATAGTTTTGTAATGGTGTTTCTAAGAAACAAATGTGACAATGGAAAAACAGGATTAGCCAGGGTTCAATCGTCAGACCCCTCTCTGGCAGGCCGCGCAGTTTTTTTTTTCATGGCAATAAAACACTGAGCTGGACCAACAGGAGAAAAATGCAGCAGATCTTAGCCCATTGATTTGGAAGCATTACACACACATTCAGCTGTGTTGCTGATTCAACGGATGCACGATCCTGGCAAGTTCCACCTTGCAATAAAGATGACTAAACAGATGTTCCAATGATAAGAAAAATGGCCAAGAAGTTTAAATATCCAAACCTAAAACTAAAGAATCAAACAGAAATGTATCAACCATTTGTTGCAAAAATGATTAACAAAAAGTTTTGGTAACCCTGCTGAAAAATCCATCATAGGATTGTTGGTCTAGCATGTGATGCTGTTAACTGGATTCTGGTCCAGCGTGCTAGTCCAGGATGGGATGCTGGTCTAGAATGCATGTGCAGAATCCAATCATCCCATGCTAGACTATACCAGCATCTAAAACATAACATTAGCTGTTTTTTTCAGCAGGAAGATTTTAATTTGACAATCATGGTAATAAAAACACCTGGTCATTTTTTCACCCTGTGTTTTTTTAATACACTTTTCTTGCTACGTACCTATAGATATGTGCCTTGAAGTGCCAAGAAAAAAGTATGTTAACACTGGGAAGAAAGCTGTGTAGAGACCGTAGCTCACAGGCAGCGAGGCCAGCAGAGAAAAGGCAAGTCCTAAAAACAGAATTCAAGTACGAATTTAAAATACTTAATATATCAGACAATGTGTACAAGTAAGTTGTGTGTTAAGTTTTTTGGTCTGAGGGGGATCTCAGATATATTACATATTGAAGTAAATCAACCCAGAGTTCACAGTTTTGATGACAAGGTGCTGGTCCTCACCCTGCATGATGGCCACCAGTCCAGTGCTGACTCCAGACACCACATCCCCCAGCAGCCACTCTCTAAATCTGTAAGTCCTCAGCCAACCAATCACAGGCAGAAATGAGAGGAGTGTCCTTTTGGCACGTTTGGCATCACAGCTGCTTTTTTTTTTATTACACAAAACAGAACAAATGTTCATCACTTCCAGAAAACCTCACAAAGAATTATGACGTTCCCAAAAATAAAAACTCAAATCTGAGAAGACTCACGTCAGATAATCTTTGCCGTGGTCCAGCAGGGTTCTGTGTTTTCTTTGAATCCTCTCATGATCTTCAGCGAAGCTGTCCTCAGAGTAAACGGGTCTGGACACCACATACTGTTGTCTAGAACTCACCATCCTCACCGCTGAAGTGTCTGAAATGTCTAATTCTGGAATCATGTAAGAAGGAAGGAACCTTTGCTTTCAGTAACTAATCTGCTATGAGATCAATCCCATCAGGATGTGGGCTTTGTCCTTGCTCCGTTTAATCATTACAGCAGGGACATTTATGGTTTGTTGTAATGTCGTACTGTCGTCATCACACTTTCTCCTCACTTTTTATTCTTTCTTTTATGATTCTGTTATGTTGAAGCTGACAGGAGAACCTGATAGGTTTGAATCGTTCAGTTTCTTAAAACATTTAAGATTATCTGTCTTCTTCATGTAATCTGCTTTTACTCACATTTCCAAAGGCCTTCGTGTCTCTCCTGTCATACAGAAAACACACTTATTTATTTGGGTGGTGCTTCTATATGAAAATCATGATAAGTTTCCCAGTAATACCTCACTGATGATCAGACTTCCCTTCCTCAGTTGAAGACCCAAATTACATCAGTATCTGTCGTCACCATATTGGTTTCAGTCCTGGACCAGTAACATTTTTTGATGCAGACCCAACATTGCAGCTTTCCATGTACATTACTGTAATATTTTCCACAAATGTGCAGAAAAGTGAAGGATATTAGCTCCACCTGCTGCTCTCAGTAATACTGCTGCTAATCTGCACACTGTTAAATATGTAAATTTCTTTGTTTCATCTTTCTACTTTGGGTTTTCTCTTCAGGGGTGGCCCACATCAAATCATATGTGTAGCTCTGTCTTCTGCAGCTTCTTAAATCTAAAAGGTTTAGCCCTTCTGCAAAAATTCTGTTTGTATCTACGCTGGGCTGTTACCATCTGCATGTACCGTAGCAGTTAAAGGACTGGACACATCTGTCCATTTAAAATGAATGAACACATGAATTAAAGACCAATTTCCCCCCTTTTTAAAATAATAAAGTAAAGGCAGACAATGTCTTGATTTTATTGTTGTTCTCTCGAATTTTATTCAGTCATTTTTGTCACTTCTAATCAGAAAATTTTAAGAATAAAATTTTTATCACTGTGAGTTAAATATTCTAATACAACATTTAAATATATTGCACAACATATCTAAAATGGACTATTTACAAAGTAAAAAGCCATACAATTGTTACCAATTTTTATTTATTTTTAGAACATTACAGTGAAAATAAGTATATTTATTTTTTACATTTAAAGGTTGATGTAAAATGAAAAGTAAAAAATACCACAATGGATATTTAAACTCAATTATTAATAATCTGAATTAATAATACTTATCAGGAGTTTCTTGATGCTCAAATACATGCCCCTAAAATCTCAATTCAATGTTTTTCTTCTTAAATTGATTCTAAAAAGTATTCAATTATGAATTATTGTCCTTCCACACACCTCTGTAATATGGCTTTGTTTGAAATGTGTTAAATAAATACAAAAATGTCACATAATTATTAATCATGTACAATAAAATAAACCACAATATACAAAACACATTCTTTGGTTTTGCTGTTAAATCCAGTTTAAAGCTTGCTCTCTGTTTCTGGACCCTGTGGAGTTATAGAAAGGTCATATTTTAGTTTGGTTACATGTACAGATCTAAAAATGTGTTTTTACAGACTGAAACAATTTTTAAAATAACAAATATGGTTTTTCCTGCATAATTTCTGTATTTTGCATTCAAATAAAACAAATGAAAGACTTTGTGAGGAGAGTATGCTAAAAGATTTAACAGAAATGTAGAAGAATGGTAAATACAGAACACCAAAGGGAAATATTGGATACCTACATTTTTATCTCTAATCCGTAAACTTCTGTTGGGGTGGTGAACTGTGACTGTTGTTATTATCTGTAGGACAATGAAAAACAGATTGACACAGATTGACAAAAGACTCATGGCATGTCCAAAATGCTGCAGCTAGAGTTCTGATGAGAATTAAAAAGAGAGATCATATCTCTCCTGTATTAGCTTCCCTACATTGGCTACCTGTTAAATTCAGAATAGATTTTAAGATCCTCCTTCTCACATATAAAGCTCTTAATAATCAAGCGCCGTCATACATCAGTGATCTGATTGTTCCATATGTTCCTAACCGAGCACTTCGCTCTCAGACTGCAGGTTTACTGGTGGTTCCCAGAATAACTGAAAACAGGATGGGAGGCATATCTTTTAGTTATCAGGCTCCTCTCCTGTGGAACCGCTCCCAGCTTTAGTCCGTGAGGCAGACACTTTGTCTACTTTTAATACTAGGCTTAAAACATTTTTATTCGATAGGGCCTATGGTTAAAATCTGATGTTAGCCTAAATCTGGACAAGTGGGGGAGTACAGGGAGGTGAAGTGCACAGTCGGTAAAGACGGCTCTCCCTTGCCCTGACTCCAACATGCCTCCATCTAAAAGGCTAGGTTATCCAGAGTTATCTCTGTAGTAATGCTGCGATAGGCTTAGACTGCTGGAGGACACACTGACCACTTTCCACACTCGACTACTTTCTTCTACAATCTGCTCTTTACTGTATTATTTCCTGCAATTTCAGCTGTTAACTTTATTTTTTCTCTAAGTGTTTTTCTCCCCAGAAGAAGCTACAATGATGTTCTGCTGAGCTGTGGAGGCCTCATAGGGGGGCCATGGTCTAGCACACTGCTGCTAATCACTTAAACATTCTCCCTCTCCTGACAATAACACTTTACTTTCCTTGACATTGAATGTGCTACTACTAGTTTACCCGTTTAATTCTAGATTCACTAGGATAAATACAATAAAGTTTATCTCTCACCAAATAGAATATTTACTAAGACATCACAATGTAACCATAGAAACATTACTTGGTGTGTGTGTGTGTGTGTCTGCCCTGTTAAAAGGGAGTTTTCCTCTCCACTGTCTGTGCTTAGTATGAGGATTGCTGTAAAGTCACTGAGACTAGTCAGTGACTCGATGCAGTTTGCTGGGTTCCTTATATAGGAAACTTTTTTTCTGATTGGCTTAATGAATTGACCTGAATTGGAATGTTTACTATGTGAAGTGCCTTGAGGTGACTCTTGTCATGATTTGGTGCTATATAAATAAACTTGAATTGAATGATAAGTCAAGTCTTGAGGTTTTTTTACCTTTTCATAGTTATGTTCCTTTTCAGCACGTGCTGGATGCTTTTCCAGAATGTGCAGCACGGCATCATGCAGCGTCAGGAAGAACATTGATGGGTGAACCTCATCATCAAAGAAGCAACAGTGATGAAGCTTTTCCAGCACATATGCTGTGGGTCAGGAAAAACAGGGTCATGCAGTTTTGCAGCAGGTGAACTAATAGCAACCAATGATTGAGTTTTCTGGAAGGCAGGGGTTATGTTGTTTCCATTGCTGGTCACAGATCTGACCAGATCCCCATGACATGAGGGGTCTCCCAAGGCTTCAATCTTGGACCACTGTTCTTTGATCTCATGTAATGTAAGTAGGTATGCAGACCCAGATCTATCTAGCTCTATAGCCTAGTGACTAGACACACTCTGTCAAAGACAAGACTGAAGTTATTGTCTTTGGAAATAATTCCAATTCCACGTATCGAGAGCTAGCTTTCGAGGGTCAGACCGCCAAGGCCCCTGCATTCGGCTACCACCGTACCACCATTTACCACCCAACACAATGCATCTGAACCCTTTGGCCTCTCCCTCAAGTGCTGAGCTCATGGTAAGCGGGACACACATCTCCTCTTCGGCATGTGCCCAGCCGGGCTCCTTGGATATAAGCCCAGCCACCAGGCACTCACCAACGTGCCCCAACTCCATGCCTGGATCCAGGGAGGGGCCCTGGTGACTCACGTCCGGGCGAGGGAACACGGTTTCCATTTATGTTTTTCTTCATTAGGGGCCTAATTTTATATGTATGTTTTAAATTTGATTTGAAAATCTGTTTAATGCTGTTGTTTTGATTTTAAAACACCCTGTTTGTTTTCAGTGTTCTTTTGCACCTTAAACACACATTGAATTCCTTCTATGTGAAAAATAAGGCTGCCTTGTCTTTTTGACTAATGGGGATCAGCTAAGTTCCTTTATATCTCAGGCCGTGTTTCCTGACTGGAAAATTGTAAAAACTGGTATCAAGTCTCTACCCATAGGTAGATGAGTTATCTGGGACGCTTTATTGCAGGTTGATGACTTATGAAATGCACTGACAGACCGGGTTTTTGTCCAGAGGAACGAGGGCATTGTTCCGGTTGTAGTAAGTGAAGAAGGACAACGTTACAATCATGATCAAGACTTATCTTATCTTATGACTTAACTTATCTTTTGAGAAAATGGGCCACAGACAAGGCTATTCTCTCTGTTTAACTTTGAAGGGGATCATCATTACCTAAATGCAAATTTACAGCTGACCGAGCTTCATACTTACGATCACAGGCCACAATGTAGACCTCAACTTCAACACGAATCAGCTCTTTCAGTAACTGCAAAAGAACATAGATTAGAATTTATTAATGATCATCAGACACTGTTTTAAGCTTAGACATGAATAATTACAATTAGAGAAAGTCACTTACTGTTTTAAGTCCATTCACAGCAGATATATCCAGGAAGGAGACAGCAGCAAAGTCCAGGACCAGGCTATGGATCTCTATTCTGGGAATAATGATGTTGGCGGGAAGTTCAGCATCCCAGTCAATGCAAGCAGGAAGGTCATTGAAGTCAGTCGGCTGGTCTAGGTCTTCTACGTTGCTCTCGTCTTCTGAATCGTTGATAGTCCCACATGAGGTATTCAGAAAGCCCTTCTGTAAAAACACAATAATGATTTCACCCGAGCCTTTCGGGAGGGGCCAAAGGGGCCGGGTGCAATGTGTGATGGGTGGTAGCCAAAGGCGGTCTGATCCTCGGCTACAGAAGCTGGCTCTTGACATGGGGAATGTCACCTCTTTGATGGGGAAGAAGCCTGAGTTAGTGTGTGAGGTTGAGAGGTTCTGACTAGATATAGTCAGACTCACCTCAACGCATGGCTCTGGCTCCGGAACCAGTCTTCTTCAAAGGGTTGGACACTCTCCCACTCTGGAGTTTCCCCACTGAGAGGCGCCAAGCAGGAGTGGGCATACTACTGCTCCCCATCTTGGTGCCTGTACGCTGGGGTTTACCCCGGTGGACGAGAGGGTAGCCACCATCTGTCCATGTGTGGGGGGACGGGTCCTGACTGTTGTCTGTGCTTATGCACCAAACTACAGTCCAGACTACCCATCCTTTATGAAGTCCTTCCTCATTCTGCTGGGAGACTTTAACGCTTACGTGGGCAATGACAGTGAGACCTGGAGAGGTGTGGTGGGGAGGATCCCTGATCTAAGTTTGAGCGGTGTTATATTATTGGATTTCTGTGCTCCTCATAGATCATCAGTAATGAACACCATATTCAGGCATAAAGGTATTCATTTGTGCTCTTGGCACCAGGACACCTTAGACCGCAGCTCGGTTTATTCTGGTATCTGGTATCATCACACTAGTTTCTGGTAATGCGTTGGAAAGTTCTTAGTCCTGTTAGTCGTTTCTACGATCTCTTTAGATGTTTTCTCTGCTTGATGCCAATGATCTGACCCTTCTCAAAAAGACCAGCATCTGTTCCACGACCACCAGATGTGTCTTTCCACACGGTTGTTTAAGAAATGAGAAGCAACTCATTGCACCAGTTGGGGTTAAATAACTTGTTGCCAGCTGAAAGATAATCTCCCATGCTTTAATTATCCAATAGGAGGCTCCTACATATTTTCTTAGTTTAATCCAGGTGGCGACTTATTATTTGGATGACAAGTGTATATTTAAACATTTTTATCATATATTTAACATTTTTAAAAAGGGAAAATAAACTAGCCAAAGCAGCTGCTTAGTTTCTGTCCAGAGTGTCAGGTTGTAAATAAAAGGGACAATTTGCAACTTTTTCATAATTTCAAATCATTTTCTTGAGCTAGTATGTGCTAAAACAACCCTTTACAGGGTTAACGAAAGGCCACCCAGCCCCTGTCTCCCCCCTGTGGCTTGAATATCGCATCGGTCTGCTGGGACTGGCTGCAGTCTGGCTTCAGCACGTTTCCTGTATGTTTTAGATCATGAACCCATCTGATCTGTGACAAATCACTCCTCTAGACACTTAGGAATGCTGGGAGATGTTTTGGCTGGTAGATAAGGTGTTAAAAAGACAACACACAACGAGGAGATAGTTTCGCTTCTACAAACGAACACTAGGGGGTGTTAAAAGCAAGGAAAACTGCTTGATCTCCCTTTAAAACAGCATTTTTTTGTTATCTTATCAGAACCTTCACAGCTCTGTTGCAAGGGAGTTGAGGGACAAGAGTTTAATAAAACATTTTAACAAAAGTTGAAATAACTTGCTAAAAAACAGAAAACACAAAAAACAGTACTCACGGGTCACAGGCTACAAACATGAGCTGCATTTTTAGGCACTACAGATTCCACTATCAGTGTTTGTTGTGAATGAGATGATAAAAAGGTCTTATCGTTAACAATTACTGTATTCTTGTTTGTTTTTATTCCTCTTTAACTTTTTAGGTGACTTATTGTAGACACTTTCTGAAGTTAAATCACAGCAATGGGAAATATTCACCTTTATATTTTACTTTTATGGTTTAGTGGTAACAGTTTTATGCAAAAACAAGACCCAATTATCCTCTGACATTCATGAATTCAGCACAAAAAGATTTAGAAGAGTAATGAGCAAGACAAAGACTCGTCAGATGACTTGGTCTCATTACAATATGACTATTCCACCCATCTAGGATAAGCTGCACCATGAACTGTCCACTGGAAATGCTGTCATCACATGTCATTTGTAAGGTACGGGAATGCTAAAGTCCGTTTTAATAACTTTTCATGTTCTTTCCTATTGGCTTATTTGTTGTATTGTTCGGCTTATGCAGAAGTTCTGAACAGAGGCAAATGAGCAAAGCAGGAAGACATAGCCTGGCCTGCCAGACTCCTCCTCTGTTTACTTCTGCACAGAGAAAGGGTCTGGCAACTCTCCTATTCAAATAACCCCACCCCGTGAGAATTGTAACCGAGCCAATCAGCGCCGAGTAACGTACGTCACACACCATAATGCTGTTTGTCATAAACATGGCGACTGAAGCTGAGTTCGCTGCGGCTCTTTCCTCTGTTCTAAATGACTCGGACACGTCTTTAAAACAACAAGTAGAAGTGCTAAAAGCCTTTCTTCTAAAAGATTAAGCAATGCTTGTGCCGTTGCCAGATGCCATTTTTTACTACAGCTAAAAAACTACAGCGGTACAGCTGGCATTTCTGTCTTTTTTCTGATTGGTTATTTTTGAACTGCCTAGTCCCGCCCCTCAAGTGCCTCTCTGCCTGTGAGTTACCAGACTCTTTCTCTGTGCAGAATTAAACAGAAAACAAGTCTGGCAGGCCAGGCTAGGGAAGACAAACACTGGCAGGACAGAAACGGAGTTGTCTCAACTTGTATTATTCAGTGTGAAAGTCGTTGCTTCGACTGCCACCGAGTAGCTACTTACTGATGTCCACTGCAGGTCACCTTTCTTCAGAAGTTTTTTGATCTTTCTCAGAGCTTTGTTCCTTTTTCGCAACACTCTCAGTGGAATAAAGCCAAGCTGTGAGGAAACAAGCATAAAAGGTACAGAATCGGGTCAGAAACTGCGGTTCTAGTCTGTTTATGCAGGAGCTCTAAAAGATTTTGTTATTGCAGTTCTTTGTAACATGCATTCATTTCTTATTTTAGACTGATTTGTATCTTCTGGTGAAACTCACAGCCTCTATGAGCTTGTTCCTGAAGAAATCCATGTTGGCAAAGAAGATGGGTGATGGGATCCTGAAGATTTTCACCCCCTCTGGCTCATATATCTGCAGTCATGACCACCATGTACAGTTGAATACAATTAAAAACCCTAAAGGGACAGTTTGCATGAACCCTTACTTCTAAACAGAATGCAGCCATTATTCATACACCTGTGTTTGTTTGTAAGTCAAGCTGTGAGACATGTCTGTGGGGTCAGGAGATCCTCTCGCTCTCCATTCTGTTCCATTAGCATATTTCCACTAATAATGCTAAATCTGTCATTGTAACAAATATTTTTGTATCACTTTGCTCATGCAATCGTTTACTCTGCAGTAGCTAAAAATACACTGTGATGTAACATGACAATGCATTGTGGGATATAGTCCTAGACAAAAAAGCATGCATTTTGCATGGGGGCCAATGGGTCGGAGTTGCTTCGTTCGCCTCCTAAAGATGCTAAACAGGAAGGAACTAAGCATTGCTATTGAGGGTTGTGCAAACTGGACTACAGATACCCAGATTGGATGTTTTTTTTTTATCCCTTTTCCAAAGCCGAGTGGTGAACAACAACAGCTGAAATGGGAACTGGCCAAGCTAAAATTTGGTGGCAGCGGTGGCACTATAATCATGTAAAAGTAAAAAGGTACTTCGAGTAACTGTTTGGGTATAACATTTTGAATTTTGTTTCTGTTGATTAGTTTTTATTGACATAAAAGCGCCCTGTGTGGTGACACGACCTGTAAAGCAGGCTATTTTACACATTGGATAAATTATCTGTCTAGAATTATTTTCCATTGTCAACAGTTTCCACGAAGTTTCACCTTCTCTTCATTCTGCTCTTTCTACCAATTGCACCTTTCCTGGCATCCACTGATTACCTCTTTTTTGAAATCATTTCCTTTTTTCATTTCCTTGCATTTTTTAATAACAAATTTTACATTTCCCAACTTTATATGTTTTAAAATCTTTTTTCTAATCTTTTTATTTCTTAATTTTGGTTCTTGTGATGTGCCTTGTGATTTTTATCTTGAGAGGCGCTATATAAAAGATAGTTTCTTCTTCCACCAATGAGCTGTAAAACTGCAATCACCAGCCATGAAGGCAGTGGGAAGCTGTCATTTCATCCATGATTGATCTGGCATTTTGCATAGTAAAGGATGTGTGCCATAGACGCACACTTTAGAGTTATGCATGGTCTTTAAATAGTCAAGAACCAAGACAAACGACACTTACTTACATGAACATAGTCCTTTCTATCTTTGTAAATATCGGTCCCCTTGATGTTAGCCAGCACACTGCAGCGAGGGCTGAAGACAAAAAGAACAAAACAAACAAATTTAAAAAGCGGTCATGCCAAACGCACTTACAATTCTGTGAGACTTAGCCAAATTTGGAGCTAATAAAACTAATTTTTTAAATAGGATTTGGAGGACTGATTTTGTCCTGGACTGTATCTATTTTAGTAATTAAATGCATTTTAAGAAGATAACATATTTTGGTAACAATTTAAAATAAGGGGCCTTTTATTAACATTACTTAGTGCATTATTAAGCATTAACAAACTATTAAATAAAGTATTAACAACTGCTTAACTATATTATATAATGCAAGAAGCCCCCCCCCCCCACCCCACCCCCTACAGATTTGTTTATGCTATATACATCCCCTAAGGACCAAGACACCTTTAATCCAGAGAGCTGAAGACAAACAACCTGACAGCATGACATGAAATATGAAAGAAAACACAAAAGTGATAATAAAGGATCATTGAATAGTCAGAACTAACAACTGAACCCTCAGGACAACGCAGATCAGCTCCACACCAAGACCCACTGCCAGTCCAAGATCCAGCCCCAGTAGGATGGATGCAAGACAGGTGACACACCAGACCGCCTGACCGAGACAAAAAACAAAGGAGGCTTTTTGTTAATTTTGTTATGCTATAGCTAAAAACAACAACTGGGAATTTCCTTTTTAAAATGTTTCCCATCATTACTAGGACCTTACACAATCTGGCTTGTCTCTCTTCCACAGGTATGGGATCTCTCTGGCTTGCATTATCATCCCCTTTAGGTTGATGATGACCACAGCACCCAGCACAGACTGTAAAAACACAGGTGAGTCTTCTCTCACTTCACCACAATTGGTAAAAACTGTAGTCAAAGTGTAGTGACCATACCTTTGGTAATGGATCTAGGAGAAATCCAATCGCCAAGGTGACAATCATCACTATGAGGGCTGAAAGCAAACCAGCTACCTGAAACACAGATAAATGTGTGACAATTCATTAACTAGAATTATATTTCACAATATTCTAATAATGTGGTTTTCATAAGCTGTAAGCCATAATCATCACAATTATAACAAATAAATGCTTGAAATATCTGGCTTTGCATGGAACGAGCATATCATCTTTTAAGCTGAATTACTGAAATAAATTAACTTTTGCACTATATTCAAATTTTTTGAGTTTCACTTGTGTTAATTGAGAAAGAAAATATTTTCTGTAATAAAAAAGTCAATAGTTTACCTGAGTTTTCCCCCCCGTACTTTCCTGTACTGCACTCCTGGAAAGAGCCGTGCTTGCTACAAAAGACCTGAAGGAAGCTCCAAATATGTTGCTAACTCCAAAGGCTATCAGTTCCTATAAGGAAGGTGAGAAAAAGCACAAAGCTTAACCTTGGTCTCTACCAGGTCGCTCACAAATCTGTAGTTATCTCCAGATGTTATAGCAACACACCTGGTTCCCATCTATGGTGTAATCGTGTTTTATAGAATAGACTTTAGCCACAGAGAAAGCTACAGCAAAACCCACGATAGCCATCGGGAAAGCTTCCACTGCGGTCTCCTGTAAGATGGGGAGATTTGGGGCCACTGGGGGCTCGTATCTGAAACCATGAATAATTTCACAGAGATTAAAGAATTATGATATTTAGGTTTGAATTTGCTGTCATGCTATTGCACAAAAATCTAGAAGTTTAGAATATTGCAAATAGGAGGAATTTGCAAAGCGGCTTTAGTGTAGAGTGCCCCCTAAAGAAAAACAAATTCAAACGATGATGCTAACTCCTTTACTTTTGCTGCAGACTCTAAACATTTGGGCTCAACATTAGAGTTCCCTCTTTAATGTTCCTTTAGTAGAACCAAAACTGAAACTTATCCCCTCGCTGTGCGTTTGTCTTTTTAACACCTTAATCCAACAGCTGAAATGTCTCCCAAACTTCATTAGTGTCTACAGGAGCGATTCATCACTAAATCAATCAAATCATCTGTGTTCACGATTTAAAAAATGCAGGAAACGTGCAAGAAGCAGATTGCAGGGCCAGGTATGTCAGTGCTATATTCTGGCCACAGAGGGGGGCAGAGGTCTGAATAATATACTAACTCCTTTAAAGGGTCATTTTAATACATACTGGCTCAGGAAAAATACTTTAAAACATGAGAAAGCAGCAAAGTATGACTTTAAATCTGTGTGAGCTCAGCTGAATGTGCTCAATGCTGTAAATACCGTAAATCCTCTAATACAGGCCCGGGCCTGTATTTGACTCAAGCTCATCAAGCTCCAGGCCTTTATTGGAAGCATGACTAGAATTAGAGGCAGGCCTCTATTTCTATTTGAGCAAAATGAACTAATGGTTCAATGGAGTTTTTGACAATTAAAATTGCGCCCACATTTTCAAAGTTAAACACATTTCTTTTAACAACGGTAGTTTCTGCTTCAGCCCTCCCCCCTCACCCTGCGCAGCGGCCGCAAACTCACTGATGCGCTTGCAGCCTCTCGGAGTTCCTGCTGCTCTAAACATTAAAATAATTATTTCATTTTCTGTTCCTCACTTCTGATTACCTTCAATGGTGTCTGTTTGTTGCAACCACTAGGTACAAAAACTAACTTGTTTTATTTGACTATTTTTCTGTCCTGCCTGTTTATTATCTTCCTGCATCTCCTCTCAATCCTAAAGAGAAACTGCTACCTGGGTTCATGTATGTTCACCTTATGAGTTACCTTTGAACTGCAGTTCTAAAAGACCTACCGACCGCAAAAACAGCGGAGTGCTCGCTTCGCTGCTTGGTGGCCGCATCAGTGATCGGTGCGTCGGAGGACAAGGTGATGCGCCCCGCTCCACAGCAGCGAAACGCATCAGGTGCAAATAAAAGAAAACATTAAAGGAAATGAGTCGACATGAACAATCGCGTGTCAATACCGACGCTCTGGCACAGCGCGTTGCCCGCCCCCCCCCCCCCCCCCCCCCGACGCGCAGGAGCTTGTCACCTGCTGACAGCAGGCGGCTGTCTTTTCCGAGGGCTGCATCTTGCCGGTCATTATCACGTGACAGCGACTAGTCGATGACAGGCATAAAAAGTCACTATAGTGAAGTCGACTAGTTCATACAACCCCTATTGCTTCCCAGTGTTCTGCAGCATAATCAGCACGTTCTCTTTGAACTTGATATCAAATTTTCGCCTCCTCTTCGTCTCCGCACGGTTAAAGTTACCCTCGCGGTCTATCACTGGCAAATCAAAAGTGAGACGGATGACACAACCGCCCCCCGTACTTGCTTGTTACCACATTCCACCCGGCCACAATAAAAAACTGGCCATTATTCACCTCCGCCGACTCAGACACCGGCCAAAATATGATACCCAGCCATTAATTGAATACCGGCCAATATTAGAGGATTTACGGTATTGTTTTCATATCATTGACATTGAACAAACATAAGTAGTTTAAAATATATTAGAAGTGAAATTTATCCTTTTTACCCTTTTGGGATGTGGCCAACAACATCAATGCCATATCTCGTCTTGAAGTCAAACGCATAAGAAACTCCACATGCAATAACTGTCTGGAAACACAAAGACATGGCAGAGATTAGTCTCAAGATTTATATACATCGTTTACATTTCCGACTTTAATTATATAATTTTACTTATAATTAAGTAGAAAAATAAAATAAAATAAAATAAATAGAAAATCCTCAGGTAACAGAAACCCAGTGTAGAGGATGAGAAGGACGATTGCCTTGCATGACATTTACCAAAGGGAGATTAAGGAAGTGGCTAGAAAAGTGTGGACTGAAGGGCAGTAGACAGGCACTGATCGTGGTAACACCAAAGATGCCCCTGAGGTTGTGAGCCCCAAACTGAGAACATCTCCAACAGATCACTGACGTCAATCCCCCAAAACGTATATTATATGTGCCGTAAATTATCTTACAACATTTTATAGACTCGTGTTTACAGGCGTGCAAAATCACAGCCAAATTCTGTTATCTCAAACACACTTCAGATAACGAAAACACACTCGCCGCCTTGTGTTAATGGAACGTTTATGAGGAGTGTGTTGCACAATGCTGCTCACCATGATAACCTCTACTGGGATGGGCACGGGTAGCTTAGATTTGAATCTGTCATTCAGTTCTTTCACAATGAACACCACTACCATGATCACCAAAGAGATCACCACGTCACACACATTGCTGGAGGTGATTTTGTTAAAGATGATCTCCAAGGTCTGAAACATAAAGCAGGAAGTCATCAGTTTATTGCCTTTTTCCTCAAGATTCGTGATAAGCTAAGAGAATGACAGCAAGAGCGAGGGATCAGTATTTACATATATGATGGCGAGTGGCCCGCTGATGCCTGGAACCGTGAGTCCCAACACAAACTTGAGCTGAGAGACCAGGATGTGGATGGCTGCAGCAGTGGTGAAGCCTGAAACCAGCGTGTCGGACAGATACATGACCACAAAGCCCACCTGCAGTATTCCCATCGCCAGCTGGACCAGACAGAGAGGTAACACGACACATTCACTTTTAATCAGTATGACAGACCAAGGAGACAACAAATAAAAAGACAATTGGATGTTTTTAATCAGACGTGTTTTTAAGTTTTCATGTTAAATGGATTTTCTTCACTTTTTCTGGAAACTTGCTCATTACTTTCAGATAAATTATGTCTAAATGATTATGTGTTATCTGTTTATTCTTGTCATCGGTAATGAGTCACTGGTTCACTAAACACTTCCTTTCTTGTGTTTACCTGCTTGAGTGTGACTGAGGGTATTAGTTACACACATTTAAGCCTGAAATGTGAAATTGTTTTTATAAGATCAAGATTTAAAAATGGAACAGTTTACTGGCTAATCTGAAAACTGTTCAATGAGTTTTGTTGCATTATCTAACATTCTAACAATTTAACTGTAATAAAGAAATAAAATTGGTCCTTGCCACCTGTAGATGCTCCATTAGAGAGCAGTAGACAGTAGCTCAGGAGCTAGAGCGGGTTGTCCAGTAATCGGAAGGTTGCAGGTTCGATCCTGGCTCCAACCAGAGAATGCTGATGTTGTTCCTTGGGCAAGACACTTAACCCGCTTTGCCTGCTGGTGGTGGGAGGGACTGGTGGCACCTGTGTTCGGCATGCCTCGCCTCCTCAGTGCTCCTCAGGGCAGCTGTGGCTACCTCCTAGTTCATTCATACCAGCGTGTAAATAGGTAAATGGTGAATGGCCTGTATTTGATATAGCGCCTTCTAGAGCCCTGGAACCCCCCCAATGTGCTTTACAACACAATCAGTCATTCACCCATTCACACACACATTTACATCCTGGTGGTGATAAGCTTCATTGTAGCCACAGCCACCCTGGGGCGCGCTGACAGAGGCGAGTCTGCCGTACACTGCTGCCACCAGTCCCTCCGAACATCACCAACACACAAGGCAGGTGAAGTGTCTTGCTCAAGGACACATCAACAGCAACAGTCTGAGCGGAGCTCGAACCTGCAACCGTCCAATTACAGGGCAAGCACTTAACTCCTGTGCCACTGTCATCCTAAATGAAAGGGTGGATGACTGATTGTGTTGTAGAATCCTAAGGCGCTTAACAAGTACAGGCCATTACAGTGGGTACGGAAAGTATCCAGACCCCCACCCACCATTTTGCAGCCATTTGCTAAATCAATTAAAGACAAAAATACAAACTGAAATATCACATGGTCCTAAGCATTTACAACCTTTGCTAAGGATTTAGTAGAAGCACTCTTTTGAGCTAATACAGCCACGAGTCTTCTTGGTAAAGATGCAACAAGTTTCTTACTCCTGGATTTGGGGACCCTCCGCCATTCCTCCTTGCAGATCCTCTCCAGTTCTGTCAGGTTGGATGGTGAACGTTGATGGACAGCCATTTTAGGTCTCTCCAGAGATGCTCAATTGAGTTTAAGTTAAGGCTCTGGCTGGGCCATTCAAGACCAGTCAGAATTGCAGTGAAGCCATTCCTTCGTTATTTTAGCTGTGTGCTTAGGGTCACTGTTGTGTTGGAAGGTAAAACTTTAGCCCAGTCTGAGGTCCTGAGCACTCTGGAGAAGGTTCTTGTCCAGGATATTGCTGTACATGGCTGCATACATTGTTCTCTCAATTGCAACCAGTCGTCCTGTCCCTGCAGCTAAGAAACACCCGCACAGCATGATGCTGCCACCACCATGCTTCACTGTGGGGACTGTATTGGACAAGGGATGAGCAGTGCCTGGTTTTCTCCACACAAACCGCTTAGAATTAAGATCAAAAAGTTCTATCTTGGTCTCATCAGACCAGAGAATCTTATTTCTCACCATCTCCTGGGTCTTTCAGGTGTCTTTTAGCAAACTCCATGTGGGCTTTCATATGTCTTGCACTGAAGGGGGGTTTTCGATGGGTCACTCTGCCATAAAGCCCATGACTGGTGGAGGGCTGCAAACGGTTGACTTACTACAATGTTCTCCCATCTCCTGAATGCATCTCTGGAGCTCAGCCAGAGTGATCTTTGGGTTCTTCTTTACCTCTCTTGCCAAGGCTCTTCTCCCCCAGTAGCTCAGTTTGGCCAGACGGCCTTCTCTAGGAAGGGTTATGGTCGTCCCAACGTCTTCCATTAAAGGATTATGGAGGCAACTGTGCTCTCAGGAACCTGAAGTGGAGCAGAGATTTTTTGTAACCTTGGCCAGATCTGTGCCTTGCCACAATTCTGTCTCTGAGCTCTTCAGGCAGTTCCACTGACCTCATGATTCTCATTAGCTCTGACATGCATTGTGAACTGTAAGGTCTTATATAGACAGGTGTGTGGCTTTCCTGATCAAGTCCAATCAGTATAATCAGACACAGCTGGACTCCACTGAAGGTGTTGGACCAACTCAAGGATGATCAGCAGAAATGGAAAGCACGTGAGATAATTATATGAGTGTCACAGCAAAGGGTCTGAATACTTAGGACCATGTGATGTTTCAGTTTGTCTTTTTAAATAACTCTGCAGAAAGTTCTAAAATTCTGTGTTTTTCTGTCAGTTTGAGGTGCTGTGTGGACATTAATTAGGAAAAAAAAAGAATTTAACTGATTTTAGCAAATGGCTGCAATATAACAAAGAGTGAAAAATTGACGGGGGTCTGAATACTTTCCATACCCACTGTATAGGATTGGATATGGCAGGTTTCTGATGAAGGTATTGATGCTGATACAGGTGGCAAGGGCCAAATGTTTTTTTTTGTGTATTAATGTTATATTTTTAAATGACATGAATGTGTTGTTCTAATAACAGCTACTAATAGATATAGTTTTAAAACTATATTTTGAATTATCATTTCAATTTTTAGGCTTTAGAGGTCTTTCAAAGCAACATACTTATGCAAAAATTACATTTTATAACGAATAGGAAAGGTTCAAGTTTATCTGGGTTTTGATCGTTTTTTTAAGAATAACCACATCTCTTTGGTTTGGTTAGATCCCAAATATAGACGAGTCATTCTACATCTTTGAAATGTTGTTTGTTTTTAAACTTACATGAAGAACCCCCGCCCTGAAAATATATCTTCATGGTTTGGTTTCCCACCTGCATGACACCAACGGTGAAGGTCACAGAGGAAGCCACTAACACTCTCTGTTCATCTCTTGTCAGATTTTCAAACCCCGTGATGTTGGCTGGAGACCCTTCATCTGGAACGAGCCTGGTGACAATCGAGCCAATCATCAGACACAAAACCGGAAACGGACCTACAGATGGAGACATTAGGAGAAAAGATGGATTATAGCTCTTGGAAAACAGATAATCAAGTTTTCAGAGGGCTCTTTGATCATCTTCTTTTCATAATCATTTTTTCCCTCATCTATGCAGGATTTAACAACGTGAAGATAACTCAACAATATGAGGAATAAATTAGGTTGTTAAAGGAAAAATAAACTACCTGAGGTTGACATGAAAATAGGGACTGATTGATCTATCATCTTTTCACTCAGGGATGTTGAAACTTTTCAAAACAATAACTAAAATCCTTGTGAGCAACAAATATGCAAATATAATTCAATAGTGAATTAGTATTATACATATATATGTATATATGTATATATATATTTATTTATTTATATGTATATGTACATATAAACAGAGGGCTACAATGGCTTCTGGGGCACACTTTAGACATGACTGTTTAAATTTTAATCCAGCATATAACAGTTTTCAGCTCACAGCTGTAATAGACATCAAACACACTCTTTCTCTATTCAACAATTTAATTGGTTTTTAGATTTTATTTTACTGACTCTGCTATAAAAAAATAAACCAGCTGAGTTTTGCAACAAGCAGCCAGTAATTCAAATTCTGTTACTATAAGTAATGTATTTGTTTATTGCCCAGCTGTGTCTTACCTGTAGACGTAGGTTATCGAATTAGGTCAACATACGTTTATGATTAAATGTGTCATTGTTTGGTGACTTTGGTTTTAATAACAGAAAACTTAGAAGACTGGACAGAAACTTTGAAAATAAATAAATAAATAAATAACCTTCCAAACTCCAAATGTAAAAATTTAAAACCTACAAAGGGACTGAAAGCAGTCTTTCTCAACAACAACAGATATCTCCAATCAGCACGGTCAGTGGGCCTTACCAACTGAAATGTGTCTTGAAGTTCCCAGAAAAAAGTAGGTGACCACTGGAAAGAAGGCGGTGAAGAGCCCGTACCAGGGTGGCAGAGAGGCTAGTAAACAGTAGGCCAGACCTTCAACACAAACCAGATGGTTCTTCAACACTTCTCAACATACCACTGATCCTGACTGGATAGGTAGAATTAAAGTACCTGAAACAAGAGTTATTTAAAACACACATTCAACAAACAAAAGTGAATTTAGGGCTAAAGATGCAGCTTGGCAGTGATGCGTCTCCTCTCATCAGAACAAAAATGGGAAACCTTCAGGGGCAAATGACAAAGAGGGATCCTTGTCAGATATCCAAACTAGTGATCGACTTTCACGGGGTCTTTTTCTGTTTGCTAAAACGACAACAGTGGATGTGCAACACTTCTGACCCTAACTAGTCGTTTAATTTAAATGGTAAATGGCCTGTATTTGATATAGCGCCTTCTAGAGTCCTGGAACCCCCCCCCCCAAGGCGCTTTACAACACAATCAGTCATTCACCCATTCACACGCTGGTGGGGATGAGCTACGATGTAGCCACAGCTGCCCTGGGGCGCACTGACAGAGGCGAGGCTGCCGAGCACTGGCGCCACCAGTCCCTCCAACCACCACCAGCAGGCAACGTGGGTTAAGTGTCTTGCCCAAGGACACAACGACAGCGACAGACTGAGCGGGGCTCGAACCTGCAACCTTCCGATTACGGGGCGAGCACTTAACTCCTGTGCCACCGCCGTTAACCAACTCTTTACTCTTGATTTTGTGCTCTGTAAAATTGATAATTTAACCAAAGTTAAATCAATAAACTGACCAAGGATTAAACATAAAACAGGTAAATAAAAAGAACTGTCAGTGGATAATAACGTCTAAGTAGATGGTTTTCAGGAACCTGCATTTAAATAACATTTGGCATTAGCACTGTGCTGTCCACAGATGTGCCTGATTTTAAATCAGCTCTACCAAGGACACATAAAAAAAGGTAAATATCAGCCTGATAAATTGGCAAACTAAATCCAAATTACTATTGTCTTTTACTTCATCCTCCAATCACAAATGCAGAAGACAACTGAACTCCTCATGTGGAGGAAATGCCTTTCATCACATCACACTTATCTGTGATCCACCTCAGTTTACACTGAAAATCATGGCATGAAGGCACCAACAGAAACATGTCCTCTGCAAAGAACAAAGACTCTGATGCTCCTAAACGTGACACCCTCGTCTCCATGGCTACGCTTTTACATCTCATCCCTGGACAGTCACCACATCAGTCCTGTGAAAGTTCATTCTGAGCTATAGGGGAGAGCTATTTGTGCTTGGGTTGAGCAAGGACCAGTGAAAGAAGAGACATCATAACCTTAGGTCAGCAAAACATCTTCAGATTTGTTCTTGAATTTATATTTTTGCAAAATGAAATAAATTAGATTAAATCGCTGACAGTGTGAAAAACACGGAAGTAACAGCAATCAACATTCCTTGGATTAGGATCCTCAAAGGGAGGAGAGGACATTAGAGACGAGATATGTGTCTCCACATTTATTGCTCTCTTTCCAGGTATTTTGTTCAAGCATGTGTGTGTGTATGTGTGTGTGTGTGTGGGAGTATGTCCCGTTCTTGACTTCAAAGCAAGCACTCCTTTTCTTTTAAACTTATCAACTGGCTTGTCTTGACCCCACAACTAAGTTAGTGGCAACATTCTATCACTCTGATGGTTTATGATGGTTATTGTTGACGTCGCCATCTGCAGCTCTAAACAACATGACCTCACTGACGCACTGCAAGCTGAAACCGGCGTGGAGAAACAAACTTGACCCCTGGGTGGGATCACATGTCGTTACCTTGCAGGACAGCCACGAGTCCGGTGCTGACACCAGACACGATGTCACTCAGCAGCCACTCGTTGATTCTGTATATTTTCATCCAACCAATCACGGGCAGAAGGGACAGAGCAGCAGTCTTGGCTCGTTTGGTGTTGCATCTGAAGTCAAACACAAGGTGACCTTTTTACACAAACACAGGTGTTCACCACTTCTGATGCAGTGAATGAAATAAAAAGTTATGGAAGTTTTTTTTTATTTGTTTTTCTTTTGTGAAAAGTTTTTTTTCTTTTGGAAGAATTTTAGAAGAGCTAAAAGTTGTAAACGTGTAAACACAAAGGAACAGAAAACGTCTGCTGCAGCTGTTATTTAATTATCTAATTATTATGAAGAGAAAAACAACAAAAAACTTAAGATTTATGGAATTTTCACTCATAAAACTGGGAGAATTCAACAGCATGAAAGTTTAGGCTCAAGTAAACCATAAAACCAGCCAACAAACAGGGTCAAATTATCAGGACTTTTCTTTCAAGTCTACTAAATGTTCTAAAGCCCGTGACCTGCAGACCAGCCAAACGATACTGCATTTTATGGTCCTCATAGCTCATCAAAGCAGGAACTGAATTTAAATTAAGAAAATACTAAACAACTTACCTAAAAGCATGAGGATATTTTTTATTATGAGTGGTTTGTTCCAGATGAAGAAAGAATGTGGAGAAAAATTCCTTTTACAGGAATTAGAAAATTATTCAGTCTTGTTTTAATTTATAGACAGAACAAACATTTGCTGCATGCAAAAATATCCGCTTTAGATTAAAACATGTTTTAAATATTCTTCTTTTTTCAGTGTCCAAACTTCCATCAGATTTCACTCAGATAGAGCTTAAATCTCCTAATTCCATTCAAAATTCATTCATTACATTTTAATTAAAAATTACATTTGAACTAAGATTTAATAAAATGTAATAAAGATAAAAATATAACACAATCCCAGACATAACCTGGCATATAAAGTCTATTTTTGTAAAACTGGATTTCTTTGGAATCTGAATTGAAAGCATCACTGCGAACGTCCCTCACCTGAAGTACTGTCTGATGTGGTCCGTGATGGTTTTGCGGTGTCTGTAAACCTTCTCATGTTCCTCAGAAAATGACTCTTCTGAGTACAGAGGCCTGGCCACCACATACTGCTTGGTTCCTGGTCGCATCATCTCGCCTCTGCAGCCTGGAGGACCTCTGCTCCCTCTCTATGTGGCTCTGAGATGCAGAAATCACATTAGGTTAGGAAGAAGACCCGCTCTTTCCTTTGAACATCGCTGATGAAGGATGATTAATGACAAACAGATGCAGAGCCTCAAATGCAGACAAAAGCCAGGTAAGGAGCTGCTCAAATAGGATTTGACAAGTTCTGTTTTGGTTCTAAATACAAAATCTGAAAGTTTTTTTTTACTGAAACACTCAAATGCATTAAATCCTGGACTTCACTAAATCTAATTTTCATTTAGATCTAAATTAATTCAACAAAATATACATTTAATGTATTTTATTAAAATCTTCATTAAAGATGATCTTATTGTACATACCTGATTTATTCCTAACACATCCCAGAGTTTCTGCTCTTTCGTCGTCTCGCTCCTGGAGATCATCTGGGACCTGAGACGGTCTCGTCATCAATAAATGCTGCTGCTTATCACAGCCGTAATTATTAACAGCAATTATGATGATGTTTGTTTCAAACAACCGCTGGATGCCTTTCTTATCCTTGACCATTGTTCTCACTGATATCTGTAAAGTGTAACTTTCAGCGCCGGGAGGATGTGGTCAAAACAAGACAGGAGGACAGGATGTTACCGGTCCAGGCTTTGAGGAGGAAACTTTTAGGGAGTTAAACATTTCTAAAGGCTGCAGTCATTTCTTTTGCAATTCTGTTACCAAGGAAAACAAAAAATAAAGACTTCACGCATAAACAAAAGTAAAAAAAAAAAAGTGAACACGACATACCAAATATATGAATCAAACTGCTCAGAATGAGCATGATGGTTGTGTTCACGGTTTACTTTTATCTGGAATCCAAACATTCCAGAAACGTGTGTGAACGGCCTTGAGAAGGTGTCTGCGCATAATTAATTACAGGTAATGTCTGCCGTCACCGTTTGTTCAGCAGGAATTTGTGGGAAACATCAGTTTATTTGAATTTCGTAACAAACATACAGCTGTGTCCAAAAACTTTAGAGAATGACACGAATATCGATCGTCACAAAGTTTTCTGGTTTTCATGAAATCAGTTTGCATGATCTACAGATTGTTCTGAAGAACAAAGCTGGGTTCTTGCTTGGACCTCTCCTCACAAACATGTAGTTATTTGTCTCTGGCAAGGCCGAAAACCTTAGATCTGCTACAGATGACTGCAGGCTGACCCTCTTCTTCCTACCACCAGTCTGGCTGTCTGTGAATGGTTTGAGCCGGTTTCCATAGGTCACCTTGAGAAAATTGTTGGTAAACTGAAAGCGTCTTACTTTTTCTTCACCACAACAGACCGTGAGCTGAGCCAGAAGGCAAGGCTCTTGATTTACCGGTCGATCTACGTCCCAACCCCTCACCTATGGTCATGAGCTTTGAGTAATGACCAAAAAAAAAAAAAAACAAGATCGTGGTTACGAGTGGCCGAAATTAGTTTCCTCCGGAGGGTGGCCGGGCTCAGCCATAGAGACAGAGTGAGGAGCTCGGATTTCGGGAGGTGCTCAGAGTAGAACCGCTGCTCCTCCGCATCGTGAAGAGCCAGCTGAGGTAGTTCGAGCATCTTAGGATGCCTCCTTCCTGGGGTGGTGTTGCGGGCACGCCCTGCCAGAAGGAGGTCCCTGGGTCGACCAAAAACACGTTGGAACAAGTAAATCTCCAATCTGACCCGGGAATGTCTTGGGGTCCTGCCGGAGGAACTGGTGGAGGTGGCTGGGAAGAAGGCTGTCTGTGATGCCCTACTCGAGATGCTGCCCCCGTGACCCGGACCTGGATAAGCAGAGGAAAACGAACGAACAACAAATGAAAGAACAACGAAAGAACGAACAAACATTTTTACCTTTTCAGTATCATTCTTATCTAAAGTACTGGAAGGGGTTGACTGATCATCTGAAATTGTTTCAAGATGAATATGTTTTTCAGTTCTCCCAGTTAGTTTTAGAATTGATTTTAAGATACCTTTACTGACTTTTATAGTGATACATCCACCACAGGCCTTTTTACAGCCTTACACTCTGTCTAGATTGCTACACTCTGAGAGTGAAAACCTTCCAGTGATCCCCGGGTTAGGGTATCAGACTCATGTTAGAAACTTGATGACTATCGTCTATTTTTACTTTACTGTGGGTTTTTTACAGTTTACTTTTCTTATTGGTTAGCTTTAATAGGAGGCTTATTGTACAAGAAAACATTTGTCTTACTATGCACATGAGAGTTTCTGTAACCAGCAGGAAACCAAACTCCATTTCATATCTTTCCACGTCTTATAATCGTGATTTCACACCAAGGGGAAGACTTCACCTCCCAAAGTAAAGCCAACGTGGAAGTGACTACATTTGCGGTTCACCCCTGATCCACTAGGGGCTGGCACCAGAAAGGAACTAGATCCCCTTGACGCCCATGTTATAAATGCCAACTTCACAGCAGGAATAAACACGTTTACAGCCTACAAACATTTTAGGTTTCCATCATGACAACTCTGAGGGGGGTGAATTATTTTTTAATTCATCTATTTAGACGTAATTAAAACTTAAAATTATAAATACTCATCTCTGTTTGACAGGTAGCGGATGAGCTGTTAGTGCTAGCTGCTTGACCCCTGGTTGCTCCAGGGAAGGCCTCAGCCTCGGCCTCACATTAAAAGTGGAACTGCCTAGAAGGCAGAGGGTAGCAGTCTCGCTCGACTGCAGTTTTCTGGCTAAAATAGTTAATGGTAAATGGCCTGTATTTGTACAGCACCTTCTAAGGGTTCTACAACCCCCCAAAGCGCTTCACAACACAATCAGTCATTAACCCATTCACACACATTTGATGTAGCCACAGCTGCCCTGGAGCGCACTGATAGAGGCGAGGCCTGCCGAACAATGGAGCCACCAGTCTCTCAGATCACCACAAGCAGACAAGGCGGGTTAAGCATTCTCTGGTCAGAGCTGGGATTGAACCTACAACCTTCTGGTTAATGGTCAACCCACTCTACCTCCTGAGCTACTGCTGTCTAGCACCTTTCTGAGTCAGAGGACTCCAAAGCGCTTTACACAACAGTGTATAAAGGGCCCACCAACTTCCATTAGCATTCACATAGGTCAGTTGTCTTTTAGCTATATCGGCTCAGAGTTTGATGGATATCATTCATCTGACCCCACCCTCAGCTCTGGATAATGGAGAAAAAAGCGAATGAGTCCAATAGCTTTTTCTTGGTTTGTTTTCAGTTAGTTTTCTTTGTGATGCAAACATTTTAAGAATCTTAATCCTTCAAGTGCTCAGTAACACACATTTGCTGCTATTGAAAAACACTTGTTTCATGCACTCTTGACGTCTTTTGCTAGATTTGTACCATAGTGGTGCCATCCATGTCACTTCACTGAAAAAGTTAATTAAAGCAAGATCTTGACAATAATAATAATAAAAAATAATAATAATATTAATAATAAAATTAAAACACTATTATATCCATATTGCTACCTGATTGCTACTAAATAAATACTTTTGATTAACTGAGTTATTGTGTCAGAACATAAAAAAATTATGAATTGCAGACTAGTTTTTGCTCCAAACTGCATTTCCCCCACAGATACTTAAACAGATGAATGATTAAAGCATTACCACTACTTAATAAGTGTTCAGTCCATCTCTTTCTTTATTGGTATTTGGTGTCTCTCAGTGAAAGCCTGATCCGGCCCAAACAAACATAAAATTTTATTGCATTTGCATCATAATCTTTATGTGCGAGTGTTTAATCAACCACTTGAGTTTGACGTGGAATATGTTTTTACGACATCTTTAACCTCATCAAAGACAATAAAAAGTAAAACGGATGGCAGTGATAAGAGAGCAATGGAAACATCTGACAATAACAGAAACAAAAGTGTTAGACAACAGCAGCAAATATATCAGATCAGCAGGGAAGCAGTTTGCCTACATTTACCCTCCTGTGACCAAAGCTTTCGGTTCATGTGCAATTTTTATATGACCTAGTCTATGTATGACCTCTTTAACACAAAGAACAAACATTGCTGTTGAACAATTTGAATTCAAATAATTTAAAGATGAAACCATTGCAAATTTTGGAAACCTGAAAATTAAAAAAATTAAATATAAATTACAAAGAGTTTAATATTAAATATTATCAAGTCAGAGCAGTATTTGTAAATAAGGTAACCAAAGGATAGCAGGTTTGGACCGCTCAGTCTATAAAGTAATCAATAATTGATAAATGCACTGCATTTGTTTTTACCCTTACATGTGCTTCATTAATAGCTCTAAACCAAGGGGGGTTGCAATCATATTTAGTAATCATGTATAATTTACCGTTTCAAGTGAACATAAACATTCTGAAGGGTGCTATATAATTATGGTGGATGAATCGTTCACACTTCCAGGTGTCCTGGTATCTATATTCACACTGAATTCAGATGATCACTCCTTTTTCGCTAGGTTGTTTTTTCAGCTACCTGATCTCTCATGACATTATCTCAAACCGGGTGGAGACACCAACTGTGTACTAATCTCACTACACAGACTTCTATTAAATTGGCTCATTCAATTTGTTTCTCAGACTCACGTGGGGTGGTTGATGAGTGGAGTTCTCAGATACCTCAAGGGTGTACTATTTTTTGTTTCTCTGTTCTTAGACATTTCTACCGAATGGAATTTTTTAGGGGGATGCTGGAAATTCACATATGGTGAAGGAATGAAATTATTGCGCCATCCATCCATATTTGGCCGCTTATCCGGGGTCTGGCCACTGGGACAGCAGCCTAAGCCGATAGGCCCAGACTCCTGGTTGGGCGTGCCAGGAAAACCTCACCAGGAAGGCGTCCGGGAGGCATCCTAACTAGACGTCTGAGCCACCTCAACTGGCTCCTCTTGTTGTGGAGGAGCAGCAGATCTACTCCGAGCCCCTCCCGGATGACCAAGCTTCTCACCCCATCTCTAAGGGAGAACCAGACACCCTGCAGAAAAACCTCATTTTGGTCGCTTGTATCCGCGATCTCGTTCTTATGATCACTACCAAATCTCATGACCATAGGTGAGGGAATGTAGATGACAGGTAAATCGAGAACTTTGCCTTCCGGCTAAGCTCTCCATTCACCACAAAATACCAGTACAATGCTTACATACTGCAGACTCTGGAGCTGATTCTCATCCCAGCTGCTTCAATCTCGGCTGCAAACTGATCCAGCAAAAGCTGAAGATCACTGTCTGATGAAGCAAACAGGACCACATCATCTGCAAAAAAGTAGAGAACCAATCCTCAGGCCCCCAAAACAAATCCCCTCAACACCTTGGCTGCGCCTAGAAATCCTGTCCATAAAAGGTGACAAAGGGCAGACTTGGCGGAGTCCAACAGTCACTGGAAACAAGCCCAACTTTCTGCCGACAATGTAGACCGAGCTCTGACACCGGTCATACAGGGACCTAAAAGCCCGTGTCAAAGGGCCTGGTACCTCAGGATGCGGTCAAACACCTTCTCCAAATCCACAAAACACATGTAGACTGGTTGGGCGAACTCCCACACACCCTCCCAGGACCCTCCAAAGGATGTAGAGCTGGTCCAGTGTTCCACAGCCAGGACGAAAACCACATTGTTCCTCCTGAATCCGAGATTCGACAATCCGACAAACCTAACCCTAACACATCCTGCGGCCCCCCTTTTTAAATAGGGGGACCACCAGCCCAGTCTGCCAATCCAGTGAAACTGCCTCCAATGTTCATGCGATATTGCAGAGCTGCGTCAGCCAACACAACCCTACAACATCCAGAGCCTTAAGGAGATTCGTCTGAATCTCATCCACCCCTGGGGCCTTGCTACCAGGGAGCTTTTTGACCACCTCAGTGACCTCGGCCCTAGAGACTGGGGAGACCTACCCAAAGTCCTCAGACTCAGCTTCCTAACTGGAATACGTGCCGGTGAGATTGAGAAGGTCTTTGAAGTACTCCACCCACCAATCCACTACATACCAAGTTGAGGTCAGCAGCACACCGTCCCCACTATTAACAGTGTTGGTATTGCATTGCCTTCCCCTCCTGATGGCAGACCAGAATCTCCTCTAACCCATACCGAACTCTTCCCACACCTTGGTTTTTGCCTTTTACTTTGGTCAATTTTACAGATCAATATACTCAGATTCAATTCAATTCAAATTTATTTATACATGACTATTTCTCAATGGAGGATGATTTATAAGCTATTTTTAACTGTACAACTATTCCCTCCATGAAAGTAGATCTGGCTGAAGATCTGGTAAAGAATATTTCATTGACTGAGACTACTTCTGTGATCGGCAACGTGCAGAGCAGCAAATCTCCCATACTGCATGGCTTTCCGACTGTTTAAGAAATTTTCTGGACTACTCTCACCATTGCTACGGTCGGTTTTCAATGAGCCCTTTACTGCTTCACTTCTGCCAACTCTGCGTCAAGTTGTTATGTCTGCTCTCAAAAAAGGATAGAAAACCCTTATGCTTACTCTTGAATGCAGATGCTAGAATTCTCACAAAGGTCTGGACACCTGAGAATGATGCTACCTATTATCATTTCACCTGAGCACAGAGAGAGAGAGAGAGAGAGAGAGAGAGAGAGAGAGAGAGAGAGAGAGAGAGAGACAGAGAGAGAGAGAGAGAGAGAGACAGAGAGAGAGAGAGAGAGAGAGAGGAGATTGTAGTCATGATTGACTTGCATCATACACTGCTGGTAGGTTGCACCTGGATCATTTAGCCTTAAAAGTGTGGAAGTACAAGTTAGTCCTTCTGGATGACGTGACAATACATTTGACCTACTGTTTCGTTTGTGCTGAACTCACCGTGAGGGCAGCGCCCTAAGATCTAGAGAAAAAAACATATATAAGATGAACATTAACCCAGATTGCAAAGAGATTAAAAGATACCCAGGGTCCATCTGCAGCTCAAACATGTCTATCTGTAAGACTGAGCAACGAGGTATGAAAAATGATTCATGAAGGGTTGAACTTATTTGAACCTTTGCCCCCGTATGGCTCCATGTCTAGCAACGCCCCTCCACTCAGTCCATCCAGGCAAAGGCATCATCAGTTCCTCCTGCTACATGCACAAAGAAAGTTGATATGCATGTTGGGGGCAAATGTGTTCGCATTTTACTTCAGTTATGGGGTAAAAAAAAAAATTGTTTTATAAGTCTTTTGAGCCTTTATACGTCTGTCACTGCAGACATTTAACGGACTTAATTTCCTCATAGATTTCTGCTTTCTTTTCTGATGAAATCCATTACTACTCATGGAAATTACTTTTCTCAAAGTTATCAAGGTTTATTGTTGTGCTTTTTGAAGACAAGAAACATCCTAAAACTTAATTTATTCTACCACAAGCATTGAAACATGTTGTTTACTGTACGTTTTTATTTTTATTTTTTTTAGAATTGAGGCTATTGGGTTACCCTATACTGAAAACCAGTCAGCCAAAGGGACATCCCCCTTGGTCAAGTAGCCAGGACGCAAGATCTATCGGGACATTGTGACGGGACGCTCACACTGTCCCATCTTCCCCCCTCTTTCCACAAGCACATCTTAGTGCTCCCGTGCAGGGTGCCACAAACTTCACATCCATGGACGTACTTGACAGTACTACATGGATCCTGCTGACAACGCCAAATGTGGCAAGGTGGAGAAACGAGGGCCCGGGCAGGAATTGATCCCCAGACTCCCGGGTGAGCGTCACGCGCACTAACCAGTCAGCCAAAGGGACATCCCCCTTGGCCAAGTAGCCAGGACGCATGATCAATCGGGACACTGTGACAGGACGTCCACACTGCCACATCTAAATTCATTTCAGAGGCAGATATTTCCAGACAAGACCATACTATTATGCTACACTATCATCATTTTAAGGTGCATCTTTTGGAAATAGTTTAGCACAAAATCTGGACTACAAACGTAATTATAGTTGAGAAGTAACTTGACCAGAAAAACAAGTTTTGCTTTGTTCCCTCTTCAGACCGACTCTCCCATCACAGTCAGGGCTCTGGAGCACTCCAGGTTCGGGGCTTTCTCCGAAACATTTAACAACATACAGGTCATTGCAAATAGATACAACTCACATAATTTACACATCAATTTCATCAGCTGTTTAAATAGTGAAGTTCCCCCACCAGACTCTAAATTTCACTCCTGGGGTGATGGAAAAAACATGCCTGAGCTGCAGCCAATCACATTTAGTTGCTAGGGAGAACTGCTAAACTTTGGGCCAACCAACATCCATGAATTGAACGTGTTTGGGGTGCAGACTGACAGCAACCCTGCTACAGAAGACAGCTAGCTTGCATGCTAAAAATCACTGGATCTCTGAACTTCTTTGTTCACACTCACTGTTGATTTATGTAGATATAGATGACATTGTACCTGAAAAATGTGTTTATTTATTCTCATCTTAAATGAGCTTAAAACAGGATATCAAATTCAACTTGTATGTCATGTTAGTGCCATCTGCTGGCAGAGCAGAGTATTGTGGTTTAAGGTGTGTGTTTTGAGCAGGTAACAGACACACAGGCTGCTGGAGACTGAAAACCTAAACGGAAAACAAACGGACAAAATAAAATGTAAATAAAACAAAAATGGACATTATTTACTGCAGCTGCTCTTAAAGGCTCACATGGTAAGCTTGTGTATTTATTTGAGTATTATTATTATTATTATTACTATTACAGTCTATCTGTAAATGTGAAAACTGACCATCTGTAAAGCTGCTGATTTGGAGAAGGAAAATTAATGAATGAACAGATGGAGGTGAAATCCAGAAGTCTGATTTGCTTTGGGAGGATTTGGGATGCGAGCAGAGAAAGAGCAGAAATTATTGAACACAAACACCCACAAGAATCAAGAGTTCAACCCACAGGATTTATTTGGATTCTAAAAACTAGACTGACATGATTGACCACATAACCTGGCTCAGAAGGTCATTAAAATAAGATGTTAGAATGTGAATAATTTAGCCGTTTGTTGTTTAACACAGTGATTAGTGGCTGACTGAATATGCATTACAATGTTTCCCCAGGCGGGTTCTGCTAAGCAGTGTCTTTGGTCCATCTGCTTCACAGCAGCAAATCATTTAAAGTCTTAAGTTTAAGTTTCTGCTAGAGTTTTAGGGTAAATCTGCAGCTGCCTGGTTTATAACAGATTCATGCAGCTACTGTGAGGACATCTAATAACATGTGAGGGGAAGATGGACATTATTTTTAATTTCGCTTGAATAAAATGAGAAAAAAATGACGGGAACAAAATAAAACAGTGACTGAATCCAGCTTTCCGTTTTAACAGATCACAAAATAAGCTACTTCCAACGACACTAGAAAGATTAATGAAGCAGTTTTGGTAGTTTTCTTTCATTTTCATTACCAAAGGTTTGTTTTAAAAATGAACACTGATACTGCGACTTACAAGAGGCACTCCCATCAATTTTCCCAAAACAGACTTCTATACATATATTTTTTTAAAAACTAATTTACGAACCCAAAAGGAGAACATCAGCAGAACCCGGAGCTGAAAAACCATCATGTTTGACATGTTTTTGGACAGGGCTCCAGAACACAGCGGCCCTGTGAAGGAGCAGGAGTCAAATCTAACCAAAACAAAACAACAAAAATAAAAGTCGTCCTCTTTCACTAGACCACTGGCACCACTATAACCGATATGAAGGACAATGTTGTTAAAAAACAAAAGTTTACTTGTTAAGTTCTCCAGAAAAACAAAACAAAAGCATTAGTCACATTAATACAGAAATAAATGGCACATTGAATTCCTAATTTAAAAGAAAGTGATGGTTGAGGAACTTTCTTTACTGAGGAGACAAGTTAAATAAATTACTACCATAAATGTTACATACAAATCTGGAGTAGTATATACAAGGAGTTATTAGACACAAAATAATCTACAGGTTTCACTTTTATGTTCAAGGTCAGCACAAGTGTATTTTACAAAGCAGGGCTTGTGAGTACAAAAGTAGGTCGAGTGGTTTTTAAGAGTGTGTGTGTGTGTGTGACAAACTGTAAACCTTCCAGGTTACAAAATTGGACAGCTGAAGCTAGGGCGGGTGCCCACGGTGCATCTAAGCAGCTTCTGCTCCATCAGGGTCACATCTAAGACGTCTCTCTGGCTTTTGTGTCCTCCCTGTTTAATGAGGTGGTGAGGTGAGGAGGTCCCTCCACCTCTCCCACTGAGGCTGAAGCTAGTTTGCTAATTTAGTTTTGGGATTCATGAGGAGAAGCAACAAAAATGGTTTGTTTATGTGGAACGTCGCCTGGATTAACGCACTGGAAAAGTCTGGATAATTGTGTGCAAACGTCCTCACAGGTGTAAAAAAATAGAAACAATACTACTTAGGTAAAAATAAAAAAGCAGTTTTCCTTTTTTACAGATCGTTTCCGTTGCTAGTGCACGGCAACTGTCTGCATTTATCAACAAATACTGTCTCTGACACATCCCATCATCTGTTCGCTAGTATCCCTCATCTCCCACGTTCCTGACCTCCTGTGGACTGTTCTGGAATCTTTACACAAATAGAAACCCCTAAGTTTCCCTTCAGCATCCCTGTCAACCTGCATGCTAGTAGTAGTTTGGGTGAAAGCATGGCAGAGAAGAGCAAACTTTTGTTTCTGTAAACGAAATCTTCCGCAAGCCTTCCTGGTTTGATCTCCACCGCTGATCCACGGCGTTCACAGTAAGACGCCACCTTCGCAGAACAGCTGACAAGCGTGAGATCTGGGTCTGATTGTGGGAAAAAAAACAACTAGAAAGTAAAGCAAATCCTTCATGAACCATTATAGAAACAGCTAGCTCACAGTTCTCTGTCCAGGGTGAGTGGCAGTGAGAGCAGAAGGAGGGTGTTGGCTGTCACAGAAGGTTCCTCAGGGCAGTTTTGGTCCACCAGTTCGTTTTTAGGTCATTTTCTGAGCAGTTTCATGAGTTCCGACTGCAGTTCCTCCGTCATTCCTCTCCAAAGTGTCTTAAAGGCTGAGCGGGGTATGTCATGGTGGAAGGTCTGGGAGGATCCTCATGCTGGTCCAAGCTGCAAGATGTCTCAGAAACACTTTACATCTGCATTGGTTTTGTGCATAAACACAGTGCTCAGACTGTTGGGGGGTGGTGCGTCCCTTCTCGGATTTTTTTTTAAATTTCTCAAATTTTTCTAACAAAAAAGCTGTAACATAAGATTGTTAGTTCAACACTAGTGAACAAAGTTCTTCCCTCTCCTGGTTTTACTGGGATCACTAGCAGACATGTTCACCAGGTGTTCTGCGCAACCTCGGGCTTTACTTTCAGGAGTCTTTAGGCATCCGACAGGCAGCTCTGAACGCTGTCCATCCACAGCTGTGCGTTCAGCCCATCCTGGGCACAGAAGTTGTACACTCGCTTGTTGGTCTTGAGCTGAAAGTTTAGAGGAAACGCAAAGATGCTAGTTGGATTTTGCCAGAGAGTTCAAATTCATCCACAAATGATCAAAACGGTGATCAGCTGTGTCTGAAGGAAACTAACGCCAAAAAACACAGGGCTGTACTTTTAGAATTTTGACTTTATTACGATATATTTTCACACACACACACACACACACACACACACACACACACACACACACACACACACACACACACACACACACACACACACACACACACACACACACACACACACACACACACACACACACACAACTGCGAGGACAAACTGAGCTTAATGAATGTTTCTGAACTCACATCAAAGAAGGCTTTCTCCTCGACATTTTTGGGGGCTCCCAAGGCAGGCGTTCCCACCGTGATGGACTCCACATCAGCTAGGTCAATCACGCCTTTACACTCTTTGTCCTGTCTGGAGTCGTAGTATCTCAGCTGGAGACAGAGTTGCAGAGTTGCAGCAGAACCCAGGGCCATGACAGAAGGCTTAAACATTCTCTTACCTGATGTTTTGTCTTATCCAGAACAAACCATCGTGGTTTCCATGGTTTCAACAATGCTCCTTTCTTGTACAGAATGCCTTCAAAGCTCCTGGTGGGACACAGGAAGAGATCACAGACCGGTAAATGATAAAATGACCCACACTTGTGTAGCACCTTTCAGAGTCAGAGGACTCCAAAGCGCTTTACACTACAGTGCATCATTCATCCATTCACACACTGATGGTGATGATATGCATCGTAGCCACAGCTACCCTGGGGCACACTAACAGAGGCGGTGGTCCTTGTCAGGCAAAGCATCACAGAATCTTTGTGTCTTGTAACTTCAGACAAACTCCCGGTCATGCTCTGGTTACAGGAGCAGAATCAGGACACACACCTGTTCTCGCTCTCTGTGTTCTGGAACTGGCTGTAGAGCGTGCTGGTACTTTGTCGACCCGTGACGGGTGTGGATGTGGCGCTGGCCTCGCACTCCAAACTCAGATTTATGGAGGATCTGACGCTGCCCTCCTGCAGACAGACACCATGGGAACGCCGCTGGTGGCTCAGGTTAGATGACATCAGCAGCGAGCTGGAGAAGGATGCCTGTTGAAGAAAGATTAACAGGAAATCACTGATAAGGCCTCTAGAGCGTAGCTGAACGGTGAAATTCAGACTACCACAGTAAATCTGGACAGTTCGATTTCTTATGGAACATTATGTGAAGGATAGTGAGCTTTAATCCAAGAAAGAAAAATGAGTAAAATCCTCGGTTTTATTTACTCAAAAATAATAAAAATTGTAAAATACAAACAAATCATTTCCCACAGCCCAGTATCCACTCCTGTATTTTCAGTGGGAATGTCCTGACATAAAATAAAGATGGATTTAATAATGTTTTCTGATGTCTTTGGGTCACAAAAAGATCATTTAGCTCACTTTAGATTCCAGTTTGGTCTCGGTCCTCTGCATAGTCTTGATTTTGTCCCACGTGTCTTTCCACTTGTCCGATGTCTGACCAAGTTCAACCTCCAGGTTCTGCATGTCCTGCAGCAGCTTAGTGATGGCGTCGGGCATCACCCTGTTCAGGCTGTCGTAGCATGGCCACACGATGTGCCGCTGAGATTTTGGGGCACTGGTGTCGGGTTTTTCTGCCGTTTCCTCTGCCACCCGCTCCTGTCGGCCCTTCAGCTCCCAATCATACGACGGCCCTTCGGACAGGGTCTCCTCCAGGTAGAATTCCCACACCTTCATGTTTGAGACGAACGTGTATGGCCTCAGCACCTGAAACACACAACTCATTCAATTCTCACCGTAGTCGTTGTCATGAGTGTTTGGTCCTGAGCTGCTCATACCTCCTCGTCTTCTGGTGAATACATGTAGTTGTAAAAGATGGGAGTTTTCTTGTTAAGTCTGTCGATGTAGTCCCACACAGACTTACACACCTGAGGATTTCTCCTGTCTGCTTTCTCCTCGTACAGAACTCCTGCATCCACAAGAATCAGTAAGAAGAGTTATACTTGTGTTATTCATGTGTAATATGAGACGTAGCTTTTGGCTCCTGTCAGAAGAGGGAGAGCTATAGCCGTTCAAACGACAAAATCTTTTCCTCCTCTCCTTGATGACATCATGCTAGACCATAGCTTTAACCCAGACAGCTCCTGCTCACCCAGCTCGATGCGATCGTAGTCCGAGTCCAGCAGGAAGGTGCGGAAGCGGTTGGACACGTAGTGGTAGGCCAGGAACTTCAGGTAGTACTGACTGAACTCAAACTCCATGGGAAACTGGAGGTGGATCTGAGGGGTTGGGATAGAAAACAGGTTAGAAATGTTCTCTTTCATAGCATTCGTTTCACGTCTCACTATGGGAACGCCTAGGCGTGACCCGAGGCCGGATTATAATATGGGCAAACTGGGCAGAGGCCTGGGGGCCCACAGCCACAAGGGGGCCCACGCAAGCAGCAGTCTTTTTATTTATTTATTTATTTTTTGTGCAGCAGTCTTAACGTTGGAGAAAAATGCTGAGAATTAAAATTGTGCCCACATTTTCTAAGTTAACACACATTTCTTTTAACAACGGTAGTTTTTGCATCTTTACTGTTCCTGCTTCAGCTCTCTCCCCCCTCCTCCTGCGCAGCGGCTGCAAACTCACTGATGTGCCTGCAGCCTCTCAGAGTTTCTGCTGATCAAAAGAATAATTTAATTTTCTGTTCCTCACTTCTGATTACTTTCAATGGTGTCTGTTTGTTGCAACCACCAGGTACAAAAACGAACTTGTTATTTGACTATTTTTCTGTCCTGTGTTAATTATCTTCCTGCATCTACTCTCAGTCCTAAAGAAAAACTGCTATATTTCTTCATATATCTTCATCTTATGAGTTACCTTTGAACTGCAGTTAAAAAACATCTACAGACCACAGAAACAGTGGCAGTGATTCCCCAAGAATTTTTCCAGCTGTGGTGGTGGGGCCGGCCGGGGGGGGTGGAGGAGAATTATGACACGTCACGTCTCTAAATAAAGTAAAATTTTCTAGAGCAGATTGGAGACAACCCATAGAAGCACTGATTTGATCTCATTTCAGAGAAAAATAGAATGGGTTAGAAGATGCACCTAATAAATAAAACTACTAACAAACTCAGGAATCTGTTTCTTTGCTTCACTGTTCTGGTGCTGAAAACATCACTAATGTGGATCAAAGGAGATACACAGATGAATGCACCTCTTATTTATTATTTGGAAACTACATTTACTGCAGCTGGCAGAGGCAGAGATTTTTTCTATTGATACACGGAGTTTACAGAATCATTTTATATTTTAATAGGGGAAGACTGCAGGAGGGAGCGGTAAAATACAGGGGGTCCCCAGCAAAAACAACAAACCACGAGTCTGATGAAACCCGCTGGTTTTCCACCAGGCAGTCACGGGGCAGCTCCAACGACCCAGTGGCTGTGCTGGGTCAATGTTATCGAGCTCATTCCGGCTCGGCCGTGAACGAGCCGAGGCGACATCGTGCTCTGCTTAAGAAGAGGTGTTATTTTCCCGCTTCAGAAGAAGCGTCCAACGTGTTTTTACACTTTCTCCCTGACATGTCACGTCGCTAAGGCGCTAACACGTCAATAGTGCAGCGTAGCCTGCTGGAGGTTTTAAGGGTTCAGACGAAAACACCCGACCTCTCAGGCTGCTCACACATCGGTCTTAAGTTGTCGCTGTTGCGCTCACACCGTAATACAGTATTAGATGCGGTTAAAGTCAGACTTGAAAAAATGAATACATTTTACATGAATAAGTGATGCTTAGCCTGGCGGGGGGAGGAAAACCTGGCCTAATAAGCACTGGAGGAAACCCTGTCAAGATCGTCAACACTTGTTTATCTTAATGCTATTGAAACATGTAAACCAAAAAGCATTATATCCACTGCTACCTTTCTAATTTTAAACTCAGTAACTTATGCTGTAACTTCACCTTGCCCTGCCTGCTCCTCCTTGCTGCCTGCCGGCTGTGATCACAAGCGGCAACATAGTAGTTCCCACTGTTTCTTCGGGAAACAGCGCCAAAAAAAAAAAAAAAAAAAAAAAACTTGGGATTTTGTAGGCGTGACGGTGGGATTTCAGCCGTGGCGGCCCGCCACAGCTATGCCTATGTAAGGGAAACCCTGAGTGGGGTGCGCGCCAGCCGCACCGGTGAGGTGAAGTCACCGGAGGACGAAACAGGCTATCTGCTCCGCTGCAGTAAAATCAGCTACGTCAGGCCAGACAAGAGCAGAAAAAAAGAGACAGAATAGAGGATAATTCTGTCTGGATGTGAATGGAGATTACATTTTACAGCAGCCTGATCATCATTTAAATACGTAAACCATCACCTTCTAGTCTACGCCATCACCATTATTTTATTTGGTGTGTGTGTGTGTGTTTTCCACTTCAAACACTGGTCTAACCAACCAGACCAGTATGTCCAGTAACATATTAATGTTACAATTAAACAATTTCACTTCATGTAAACTAGGAACATTTCACCTGCCGTGGGCCGACCGCTTCTGCTCCACATAAACTTTGTGCATAATCAAATGTCTCTACAGGTGCTTTCTGAGCTGAAGAGGCTATTCTGCCTCAGACTGGATGTGTCACGCGTCTCCATATTGGAGACGGGAACAAGCGCTATTCAGCCAAAGTTTCATAATCAGAGAACATTTTTCCATGTGACACATCCCTCAGAGAGACAGGGTTTCCAGACCTCTTCAGTGGGAGGAAATCTTACCGCATCGCTGTAAGCTGATGTTCTGATGGGAAACTTCTCTTGATTGACGTAGTTACCTCCGCGATGTGCGTAACAATTAAAATTTCAGCTCATCTGTGTGCGCATCAGTGTGCGTCGGGGTAATTCTTTCAAAACAACAAACATCCTTGAGTTTATCCGTCAAAATAAACAAATGGAAATATCTGTAACCTGCCATTTAACTGTTTTGCCTTCTTGTGAAGATTGTAGCAAAGAGAAACAATTAAACTTGATTAACCCCAGAGCCATGCGCACTGCACTGTACTCTGTAACTGTAAATGAGGGGGAAACAATTTAATCGGATCCTTTTCATTTCAGCATGGTTTAATGTAAAGTTTCATTGAGTACAAACTTTAGTTACACCAATCTAATGAGACAGAGCCTGGATTTGTATTCTGAACAGTTTAAACATGTTTAAAAGGGAGACATGCGTGACGCATCAAAAGTTCGCACCTGCTCCGCTATTATGGAAATTAAACTAAGAAGATGAATAACATAATTATTTTAGGCACAGACAACATCCCACCACACTTTTGAAAAGCTTGCAACGCGCTTGCTACCAGTTACAAATTGTGAAGGAGAATGATCTTTTTCACAAATGGCAAGAATAAAAAATGAACTGAGAACAACACAAACTCAACAGCGTCTCAGTGCACTGTCACTGATGGCAACTGAATCTCAGCTTGTCAGGAATCTGGACTTTGATGACACTGTAAATGAATTTACTAACAGAAAAGCCAGAAAACAGTTTTTCTGAAGGCAAGAGAGGAGACCAACAAGAGGAAACAAAAAGAAGAGGAAGGAGACAGGAGACAAGACGAGGCAGGAGACAGGAGACAAGATGAGGAAGGAGACAGGAGACAAGAGGAGGAAGGAAAGAGGAGACAAGAGGAGGAAGGAAACAGGAGACAAGATGAGGAAGGAGCCAGGAGTCAAGAGCAAGAAGGAGACAGGAGTCAAGAGGCAGAAGGAGACAGGAGACAAGAGGAGGAAGGAGACAGGAGACAAGAGGAGGAAGGAGACAGGAGACAAGAGGAGGAAGGTAACAGGAGACAATAGGAGTCAGGAGACAGGAGGAGGAAGGAGACAGGAGACAAGAGGAGGAAGGAGACAGGAGACAAGAGGAGGAAGGAGACAGGAGACAAGAGGAGGAAGGAGACAGGAGTCGAGATGAGGAAGGAGACAAAAACAAGATTAGAAAGGATATAGGAGACAAGAGGTGGAAGGAGACAGGAGACAAACAAAAAACATGCAGATATTTAACCCTTGTATCAACATAAGTAAGAGAGTTTTAATATTGACAATGTTATGAAATGTCTAAAAAGTGCTTCTGGGTGGCAGTAATGTTGGGGGAGGCCGGGTGGGGGGGCCCTAAGCACATTGTGCCCAGGGGCCCTTGCAATGATAATCCAGCCCTGGCATGACCTCATCAGAAGGTCTTATTCCACACTGCCAGCCCTGATTGGCTGGAACAAATCTGTCAGCGTATAGCAGGCGGGAACCCCACCTATATATTAGGCCGGCTCCTCACTGACAGTATTCTAAAACCTCTTCTCGCTACGAGCAGAAGTTCCCAAAATCCTCTCGTGTGCTGACTGTCGGACTGGAGCTAGCTAAACTGCCCAAGGGCGGAGTGCGTACTCTACCGCCGGGCGCTGGTCTTACTGTTTTACACTAGAGACAGTCTCACACTAACCTGCCTTCAAGCAGCGGTGTGAGTTGCAGACTGTGAGGGGTAGCAATACGCTTAACAGTTGGCATTTTACCGAGTAGCATTACTCGAAGTGTAGCGATACAACCTACACATGGCAGAGCCGTAACGCTTAACCCACCTAACCACCCTAGACTTGCGTTAGCTGTCTAAACGGTATTGTTAGCTGCAAAGCTAAACACCAGGAGGGTCATGGACGCCATAAGCGGTGCCGCTAAGGCGGCTGAAAACCCGCAGGCACGAACCTGCCCTTGTGGTAATAAAATTTCGAGCTGGGATGTGCGATGTGTCTCGGTCTCAAACATGCCCCAACGGCCCTTGAGTCTCCGGAAGAATGCGCTCACTGTAGCCGGTTCTCCCTCAAGGTGCTCCATCGCCGTCTGGCTCTTCAAGTGACTCTGTCCAGCGGTGACCCGTTACTGGCTTCTACAGCTACGGACCAGCATGCGGAGGACCAAGCTGCCATGCTTGCCCCCGAACCTCAACCTGGACTGAGCTGGGGTGAAACTCTGGATCTCGTGGACCCGCTCCCACTCGAACTCCTGGACCACCACCTTGCGGACAGCCCAATGGACTTCCGCGGAGCAGAGGATGGCGACAATTCCGATGCAGCGTCAGAGCTCCTCATGACAGATGAAGAGGACAGCCCCATTCTGACCTCCTCAGGCCAGGTCGCAAAACCTCAGCTCCTGAGCAGTCAGCGACAGAGAATCGGCGTCACCTGCCCTGGATCCAGATCTGCAGGACGTGTGCAAATGCGCTGCGAAGAAGCTCAACATCCAGTGGCTGGAGGTCCAAGCAGAATCGGCACGCTCCCGCTATGATAGGAAGAAACTACCAAAGGCAAGGCGCACCGGGAAACAACTCCTCCCGTTCTTCGCGGAGTTACTGGAGGAATTTGGCACCTCCTGGCGGGAAAAACCCTACAGAGACAGGCACCTGGTGGCAGGGAGTTCTGTGCTTGACTGTGAGGGAATTGAGAATCACGGTCTCCGACAGATGCCCCCCGGTGGAACCAGCGGGGGCAGCTCACCTGCACCCGAAGACCTCCAGCCCGCCCTTCTGTCCAGAGCAGACCATTTCCAATCTGCCTTGATGGAAAAGTCCTACAAAGTTGCCGCGTTGTCAGTTCGGGCATTGATAGCCTCATCCCTTCTGATGGCATATCAGGCTGAACTTGAGGAGGAGATGACTGCATCACCAGAGGCCACGCTGTGGGAGGAGGTGTGCATCATTACCAACCACTGCCTTCACCTTCACAAAGTTGCGGTCCAAGCGCTGGGCAGAACGACGGGTCTGATGGTCCTGCAGGAGAGAGCTAGGTGGCTAAATCTCACCACCCTCTCTACCAAAGAGAAGGAAGATTTTCTGGACACCCCCATCGCCCCACAAGGGCTGTTTGGTGCTGCCGTTTCTGCGATGCAAAAGAGATGTGAGGAAAAGAAACAGGATGACGAGGCTGAAATTATGCCTCCCCAGACAGGCACCGGTACACCCTGTAGCCCCCCCTCCTCCTCAACGCCAAATTTTTGTCCAAGCTGTGCCCTGCCTGCCCCCAACCTTCAAGATTCCAAAAATGGCGAAACAACAGAGACCTGTCCCTGCTAAAGTTCCGTGGAACAAGAGGCCTGACGCCACTCGTCCAGATCAACTCCCGGCCCGCCTCCACTCAGGTGGGGAGGAGAAGGAAGCATCTAGCCTGACAGGCTACCAAGACGCAGCAAGCAAACTTTTTCCACTTCCGGGCTTGGATATTCTGCGCATGAAAGAAGAGATGTTCCAATCTGCTCCATGCGCCCCAAAGAGACGGTGTGTTATTCCTGTAGGCAACCAAGATGGCCTGGTGACATGTCTCACAAGCACTGTTCTATGTTCTCAAACATTAAAAATGTTTGCATCCAGGCAGTTTGCCGAGGTCGCAGCTAAAAAAGTTGAAAAACAAAAGATCAATGAATCAAGGGGCGGAGACTACTCATTTCCTAAACGAAATGAGTACCCCCCGTGTTCAAACACTTCCGCCTCAGGTTTCAGTCCCCGCGCATGTGCAGTACAAATCTACTCGCGTTTCACCCCAGATCCACTAGAGAGTGAGCTCGTTCCACACATGACGGAGGGGCCTGTCAGCCCGCTGTCACTGAGAATAAAAGATTGGGAGAAATGCACGGAGTCAGACTGGGTTCTGAAAACAATAAGCAGAGGATACAGGCTGCAGTTTGCAACAGTTCCCCCTCACTTTATAGGCATGAGTCAATCACAAGCCAAGAGAGAAGCCACTCGTTCCCTACAGGAGGAAATTTCCTCACTGTTAGAGAAAGAAGCGATAAGAGAAATCCCTCCAGAGCAAAGCAGGAGTGGGTTTTACTCAAGATACTTTCTGGTTCTGAAGAAAGGTGGAGGGGGGTTGCAAGCTATTCTGGACCTGCAGAGTTTGAACAGACATCTCAGAAAATACAAGTTCAGAATGCTGAAGCACGCTTCCCTACTGCGCTTTCTCCACCCGTGAGACTGGTTCACATCAGCTGACCTGAAAGACGCTTATTTTCACATACCGATTTATCCGCCTCACAGAAAATATCTCAGATTTGCATTCTTAGGGAGATTTTTCGAGTATCTCGTCCTCCCTTTCGGCTTCTCCCTGAGCCCGAGAGTGTTCGTAAGATGTACGGAAGCAGCTGTGGCACAGCTGAGAAGGAGGGGAAACAGAGTTGCCATGTACATTGACGACTGGCTTATCGCAGAGTCATCTCGAAAAGAGGCTGCAGATCACACAGCCTTTGTGGCTCATCACATGGTGAGCCTTGGGTTTCGGATAAATTTAGAAAAGAGCGTCCTTCTTCCCATCCAAACCATACACTATATAGGCCTGCTGCTGGACTCCACGCAGGCTATGGTGAAACTGAGTGGAGAGAGTGAATGCAATAAAGAACCGCTTGGCTCAGTTCCACGGGGGAACATGGTGTCACCCAGACTCTGCCAACGACTGCTGGGCCTAATGGCTTCAGCCCTGGTGGCTGTTCCCCTAGGCCGTTTACACATGAAGAGAGTTCAGCGGTGGATGGCCAGACAGAAACTGGACTGACACAGCTCTCGGAACATCAGGATCACAGCAGCCTGCACTGCTGCACTTCGGCCCTGGAGAAATGGACATCTCCTGTTGCAGAGAGTGCCCATGGGCACAGTGCAAAGCAGAAAAGTGATTACGACAGACGCCTCTCTGTCAGGTGGTGGTGGTGGTGGGTCCTTTGAGGAGAGACCGGTGAACGGGTCCTGGCCCTCCCACATGCTCAGGTTCCACATAAATTATTTGGAACTGTCGGCAATCTACATGATGTTGAGACATTTCCTCCCTCTCCTCGAAAACCATCATGTTCTGGTACGAACAGACAACACAACTGTTGTGGCGTACATAAATCGGCAGGGGGGTCTGAGATCCCAAAGTCTGCACTTGTTAGCTCACAAGCTGGTTCTGTGGAGCAGCAGACACTTCTTGTCTCTGAAAGCCACTCATGTACCGGGGATACGGAACCTGGGGCAGATCTTCTCTCCAGAGGGAACCTCCTGTACGCGGAGTGGAGACTTCACCCAGAGGTGGTCAGGATGATCTGGATGCGCTTCGGGCAGGCCTCGATAGACCTGTTTGCCTCTCAGGAGAACACTCAGTGTCCCATGTTTTTCTCCCTACATGAGCAGGGCGCACCTCTGGGAGTGGATGCATTCGCCCACAGATGGCCACAGACCCTGCTCTATGCGTTTCCCCCTGTGGCTTTCATCTCACCCACACTAACCTGAGTGAGAACGGAGGACCTGGTAATGATTCTGATTGCGCCCCATTAGCCATCGAAACACTGGCTGGCGGAGATCACACAACTCCTTTGTGGAGAACTGTGGCCCCTACCCTTATGCAGAGATCTGCTATCTCAGGCACAAGGGAAGGTTTTCCACCCACACCCGGAGAGATTGTCCCTCTGGGCTTGGCCCGTGAGCGGTCCAACCTACAGGCTGTAGGACTCCCACAGAGGGTCATTGAGACCATTCAGGGCGCAAGAGCTCCCTCAACTAGGTCTCTGTATGACAGCAAGTGGTCTATTTTCAAAAAATGGTGTGGGGAGAAACAGGAAATCCCTTTTCAGAGCTGTGTGACAGTCATACTGACCTTCTTGCAGGACCTGATGGATAAAGGAAAAGCTTTCTCCACCAACAAGATGTAGATGGCTGCAATATCAGCCTGCCATATTGGTTTTGAAGGGAAGCCAGTTGGACAGCATCCTCTTGTGAGTCGATTTATGAGAGGCGTGCGAAGGCAAGTTCCCGTCTCTAGGAATCTGGCTCCACCCTGGGACCTCCCGCTGGTTCTGGAGGCCTTAATGTCTTCTCCTTTTGAACCACTGGAGCAGGTGGATTTGAAGGTGGCTACACTAAAAACGGCGCTGTTGCTGGCACTTGCGTCGGCTAAACGTGTGGGTGAAATACATGCTCTGTCTGTTCACCCGTCATGTACCAAGTTTTCCCAAGGGGACTCGAAAGTGACCTTACTCCCTATTCCCATCTTTATGCCAAAAGGTGCTGGGGGCTTTTCTCCCTATTTCTTTGGTTTCCTTCTGCCCTCCTCCCTTCTCCTCAGTGGAGCAGCAGAATCTACATGCACTTTGTCCGGTGCATGCATCACATATATACATCGACAGGACAGAGACTATGCGAAAGAGCAACCAGCTTTTTGTGTCCTGGGACAAAAATCGGTTGGGGAAGCCCATATCAAAGCAGGGACTTTCTCACTGGATTGTAGGAGCCATTTCCTTAGCCTACAACTCCAAAGGGGCTCTACCTCCTGAGGGCCTTCGTGCCCATTCTACTAGAGGACTTTCTTCCTCATTGGCCCTATTTAAGAGAGTGTCCATTCAGGAAATATGTGCTGTGGCGAGTTGGACCTTCCCTCACACATTCACTCGGTTCTACAAGCTGTGCACACGATATGATATTTGGGAGTACAGTCTGTGTATCATGTTCTGCCTTGCAATCCGGGAGTCAGTATTTTCCCACAGTGAGACACGAAACTAATGCTATGAAAGAGAACTTTAGGTTACCGTCATAACCCCGGTTCTCTGAGTAGCATGAGTGAGTGTCTCACCATACCGCCCTCCTTGCTATTTCGTAGCGAGGAAGAGGTGGTCATTTTAGAATACGGTCAGTGAGGAGCCGGCCTAATTTACAGGTGGGGTTCCCGCCTCCTATACGCTGACAGATTTGTTCCAGCCAATCAGGGCTGGCAGTGTGGAATAAGAGCTTTTGATGAGGTCCCACCTAAGCGTTCCCATAGTGAGACACTCACTCATGCTACTCAGAGAACCGGGGTTACGACAGTAACCTAAAAGTCTGTCAGTCTGCTGCTGCTTGGTTTCTTCTATCGTTTTACATAAAGAGGTTAAAGAAAATGGTCCCACCTACACATAACTATCTGCTGGATCAAATCAAGCTAAATGTTCCTATTGATAATGTCTACAATTCTAACGTGTCAAATACATTTTACAGAGTAGAATTTGCACGATTAAAAGCTGAAATACTAAACAGCAGGTAACAGTTTGGTCATGGAGGCATTCATTGATAGAAACAATCTTTTCAAATAATTATGGTCACACCATTAGTTTCATTAAATGTAAGGTATATGTTCATAATGCACATCTGTAACGGACTCTTCAAGCCGCTGATGTGCATCAAAACACCAAAAGATCCTGGCTCTGCACATAACACGTCTGGTTCTGACTGTAGCAACAGGGGAGAAGCTGAACTCGCCTGATGCACGCAGTCCAAAAACTGCAGGAAGATGGGGGTGAAGCCGCTGCTCTGGCTACCCAGGGTCTGTGCGCCACGGTGGCTGAACCTGTGACCAAACGACAACCACTCCTTCTCCACGAGCAACCGGAACCCGTCGAAGGTTCTGTAGTAGGGATCAGAGAGCAGCTGCACCAGGGACACCACCTACAGACAGGAAGTCACACCAAGTCCATCTTAACTGCTCACTCCCAACAAATAAAGCTGATGATTTTCCAGCTCGTTGCCCCGTCCAACCTGTGTGGTGACGTCCCAGCCGTCCTCCAGGCTGACCATGACAGATGAGCCAGAGTCCAGAAGCTCCACCACCAGTACAGACACCTGTAGCACCCTGTGTAGCTGGATGCACATGTGGACACACAGTCACCAGACGGAACAGCTAAGCACAAAAATAAAAGTGTGGTAAAACCAAAAGACACCAACCAGGGCCATCCACTCCGAGTCCTCCAGGAGGCGCAGGAAGCTCATGTTGGGGTCGGAGGTCGGAGAGCTCGGCACGCAGGCCTTCACCAACTTCTTGAAGCTGTTTTTTACCTGCCGCACGTCACACACCTCGATGGGTATCACCTCCCATTGCTGGAATGAGTCCTGCTTTCCTCCCTGGTGACATCACAGTGATCTGTTCAGGTCGTTTCCCTCCTACATTTATTTAATCTATAACTTTTTTAATCACTATGTAACTACAGGTGGTTTTAGATGCCAGATAGAAGAGGAAAATGATTATCTGGACTAGACTAGATCCCGCTACAGAACACTGATGTTCCCCAAACTGCAGAAGCACAAAGCTTCAGCCTGGAGTCTGGACCCAATCCAGACTGCATGTTTATGCAAATAAAACACTTTTTGTATGTTCACTTTGATCCTTAATATGTAGCCATGGCAATAATGAGAACCCACACACACATGATCTAATGTGGCTGCATCGTCATCATTGTGCAGCGCATTAGCAAAATATGAAAAAACAAACACACAAGAAAATAAATTCTGCTTGTAAACACAGACATTTCTGAGGCCAAGGAGCACATTTACTGCCAGAGCTTAAAAGAAGATGAAGTTTACAAGGAAACAGACATTTCTTTAGGTTGTAAATGGTTCTAATGAGTCTCTGAGCACCTTGAGCTGGGCTTTGTCCCCGATGATGTAGAGGTAGGCTTTCTGCTGGCGGAGGAACAATGGATCACTGGGTCCCCCGTTGGGCTGAGGGGATTCTTTCCCAGCCAGGCGCGTCCCCACATCTGGGTTGTAGGCACTTAGACGCCCGCTGCCCCGTATACTACCCCATTTACCTGCAATGTGCACAAACAACCACAGAACAAAGTAAAACACACAAGGAACCAGGATGTAAATACTGAATTAGCAAACACCCTGCTGAAGGCTTTTCTGTGTTAAATGGCCATTAAAAGATCATTCTAGTTACGCTTAGCTGGAATGATCCTTTTAATGTGAATGTGTGTGTGAGCACACTGATCATTGTCACATCAACAGCTACTGACAGCCAAGCTGAAACAGGACAGAGAACAACGATCCAGTTTGATCAGTCAGCTACATGATGATTGAAATTAAAAGAGGAAAGACTCAAAGAGAAAAACACTGAACGTGACGTCAGACGGCTCAGCTGCAGCAGCAGCATGCACACAAAATCATCACAAGCAGTACCACCAGACCATTAGTCTGCAGAGAGAGTGCATTTCCCAAGAGCACCAAACACAGGGAAGCTACTGTTAAACAGATCTGATTGGTTAGACAGGAGTGAAGGAAGGGCTGGGGGCGTGGCCTACTGTACCTCTAGAAGGGGTCCTGGCCTTGCCAGACACTTTGGACTGAGAGAGGGAGCAGACTTTCGCCTTTTGACCAAGAGCTGAGGTCAAACGACAGAGACGGCTGATTAACCCAGGGTAGGTCACTTGCCAACTCTCACACATAACCACAAGCAACCTGAGCTACAAGGGATTCACTGGTTCATCACCCACCACCATGTCAAGCCCCGCAGACTTAAAACAAAAAGGACTTCTGTGATCTGAAATCAACACACAGCTTCCCCTCACCTCCTCTGCTGAAGGTTCCAGGAACATCATCTTTGTTGCCCAGAACCTGCTTCATCAGATCTCCAATTTTGGGCTGTCGCAGCTTATCGGACGACTCTGCGGAGAAGATGATAACCATCAGTCTGCCTCTTTTGTTAGTGATGTTCTCCTAGTGTGTGTGCGTGTGTGTGTGTGTGTGTGTGTTTGCATTAGCACTGACCAGAGGTGTTCATATGTGTGGACGTGAAGCCGCTCAGGGTGTTCCTGCCACTGCTCTCGCTGTAGGAGGGCATGGAGCTGATGATGGCTTGCAGGTATTTCTCCTGTTCCAGACTGGTCGAGTCTGCCTGAGATGGAACTGCACAAAGATAAAAACACACAAATAAACCCCAACTTAAAGAGTTGTGGCATTTAAAAACCCGAATGTGTCCAAAGTGTTTCATCGCACTTTACTTTGTGATGTTTGACAGAAAAGAATTGTGTACACTAGGGTTGTCATGGTGTGAAAATTTATCCTCACGGTTATTGTGAACAAAATTATCATGGTTTTAGGTATTATCGTGGTATTTTTTTTAATGTGTTACATTTTCAGACAACTAAATAAACCCTGTATATCAGGGAAAATATTGTCCTCGGTTTGTGTCCTTCCAGTGAGCTTTGCAGATTTGGGGAAATGTCATGAGGCAGTAATCATTGTTAAATTCATAATTATTCTCGGAGGGAGACCAACTCTTATCTGCCCCTGGGAGCCCCGTAATGCATAGCGTCATTTCAACATGGGGGTGTCCGCGACACGGTTTATATGCAGGTAGCGGCGCTGCGGCTGCTTTATATAGCGACTCGTTGCATTCTCCCTCAACCCAAATCCTCGGATCACGCATTTTAGCTAAAACGCTAACGTTAGCTTGCCTTGCGTTGACTGTAGAGTTGTGGGTGATGGTCACGCAGATGTGTCATGAGATTTGAAGCGTTGCTGCCTTTCACAGACACTTTTTCTGCACGTGCTGCAAACAGGATAGCAGTCTTCTATCAACTGTCCCTCGGCATTCTTCAAATATCCAAAAGATGCCCGTACTTCCCACTTTGTCTTCTTTGAGGGATAATAAATGTCCTGAGTGCTGTCGTCTCCTCCTTTGGCCATTATTTCAGCTTTAGCTTCAAGAAAGTTTTGGTTGTAAACAACAAAGTGCGCATGTGCCGCCGGCAACTTCAGCAGATGATACGGTGGCTGGTAAGGGTCACCGCGCCTACACCACAGCTACGGTAACCCACCAAGATAATATATTTTTTTAAAAACAAGATGGTTATTATTATTGTCAACTTTTTTACCGGAGTTTACCACTACACCGGTTACCGTGACAACCCTAGACACGTTTTAAAGCAGAATCTCGTTTCTGTGAGCTCCTGTTGCTGGTTATAAAATCTTAAAACACTTAAAAACAACAGACCTGTGGACAATTCAAGGAAAGCCACAAAAATGCCTCTAAAGCAGTAAAAACACCCACTTTTTGCTCTCTTTAAGAATCAGCCGACGCAGATGTGTGTACCTGCAGTGGGAGCGTTGGGGGACTTGAAGAAGCTGACAACCCCTTTGGCGTGAAGGCCTGCTGAGCGCAGCAGGACCGCCTTGGTTCTCGAATGCCTCCAGCACACAACAGGAAAGCGATTTTGTCGGTAGCAGCGGCAGATTCGTTGGATGGCAGTGTCTGGAATGCTCTGAGGGATTATCAGCAGGCCGGGGTAGCTGGAACAGATCAGGAATGTTTAAGATGCTCGCTCAGGTGTCCGTGTTCATCAGTGGACCCACCTCTTACCTCCTGCAGACGGTGTACATGCGATTCACTGTGGAAATCCTGAAGGGCTCGTTCTTACTACGAGTCAAGCTGTTACTGAGCGTGCCCAGACCGAGACGCTGGTAGTCACGACAGCAGGCACGCTCCACAACGTTGCTCATCGTCTGCCTGTCTGAGGAGCGGATGGTGGAGGAGAGGGTGAGGGCGCCCTGATCAACCTCCTCTGAGACTAGACACACAAATATACAACTTTTATAACAAATATTAATGTGGATTAAACAGGTTCTGACTAAACTCAAACCATCTGCAGTCACAGTGAGTTCTGCTCCAGCCTATTCCAGCTCTGAAGTTATAAACTTCATAACTTTAAATGTATTCTGAGAGCCTCCCCCAAAAGCCAGACCTGTCTTTGTCCAACTGTCCTATCTAACCTTTAACTAACCCTTTAGATTCTGTGATGTAGTGCTCGTCTCAGTGGGACTGAGGCTCCCAGGAATTCTGTAAAATCCTAAGAACTTTTTCCTCTTGTGAAAAATCTTTTCCACTGCAGAAAAACCAGATTGAACTGGTTAGGAAGTGACTGAGCTGATGTCTTTCCTCTGTGGCTGCTCACCAGAATGACCCAAACAACAACACAAAAAACAAAAACATTGCTTTTACAGAAGTAGTCACATTTCTGATGATCAGTTAATTGGTGTACATTGAATTCACACTGAAGCAGTTAGGGGCTGCACAGTGGTGCAGTGGTTAGAGCCTTGCAGCAAGTAGGTCCTGGGTTCGCTTCCCAACCTGGGATCTTTCTGCGTGGAGTTTGCATGTTCTCCCTGTGCATGCGTGGGTTCTCTCTGGATGCTCCGGCTTCCTCCCACAGTCCAAAAACATGACTGTTAGGTTGATTGGTCTGTCTAAATTGTCCTTAGGTGTGTTTGTGTGTGTGCATGATTGTTTGTTCTGTGTGTCTCTGTATTGCCCTGCGATGGACTGGCTCTCTGTCCAGGGTGTACCTCACATGATTGCCCATTGACCGCTGGAGATAGGCACCAGCCCCCCTGCGACTCTACGTGGACAAAGTGGGTTCAGACAATAGATGGATGGATGAAGCAGTTAGAGCAAACTTAGTTTTTGGGGTTTTTGTCAGTTCGAACTGACAAGAAACCAAACAAGTCCAGTTGCCTTCATCTGAACCCTTTTGGGTCTTTCCTACCAACCGACCTACTAAAGTTACGATGTTTAGCTGCAGCTAAAACAATAAACAGATCCCAAGGTCAGATTTCACTCCTCATCATTACCTGAGATTTCGTCCTCATCCAGCTCCGACTGGAAACTGCTCCGGTTCTCCACACTGGGGGGGGAATACTTCTTCCTGGTCACATACTGCCGGTTGATGGTTCTCTTGGCGGTCTTAACCAGGTTTTTGGAAAGTGTTCTAAAAGAGAAAGCATCAAACATCTTTAGGGTAAAGATTCATTCATCATCACGATACATTCAGAGAAACTTCATGTTGGGTCTTTCAGATCTGAAGAAGCATTTCTGATGGACTGTTGTCCAAACATTCCACAGGGTTAGACACCCACTTAAATCTCTCTCTCGCACACACACACACACACACACACGCACACGCACACGCACGCACACACACACACACACACACACACACACACCCTCCCATTGTCTTTATGGGTGACCCCGCGAGGAAAGTTGACCATTGAGCAGGATTGATGGTTTATCCCTTGAGGTTCACTTGGCACTTATGTGGGGAAAACCGGAGTACCCGGAGGAAGCCCACGCATGCATGGGGAGAACACGGAACTCCACGCAGAAAGGCCGCAGCCGAGCCGGGTTTCGAACCTGCAACCTTCATGCTGCGAGGCAACAGTGTTAACCACTGCGCCACCATGCTCCCCCCTCACCCCTGCCACATGGACCCAAGGGATAAACCATCAACCCTGCTCAATGGTCAACTTTCCTCGCGGGGTCACTCCCATTAGGACAGTGGTTATCAGGCAAAAACTTAGTGGGAAAAGTTCTTGTTTCAGAGGCAGAGAGCGAGCGTAGTTAGAAAAGGCTTAGAGGTTTGTGGCTCAGACTTTAAGAAAAACACTAAAACTAGTAACTGAAGACGTTGATCAGATATTTAATATTAAACAGCAGAAAATCATCAGGTTTTAGGTTAAAATGGTAAAGAAATATGAGCAGGAAACAGCTTCCAGAATGAATCACAGTAAAAACCTTCCCCACGTGTTTTCGATTGGGGGTATTAAAAAACATTTCTAGAATAAAGACAGAATGTTTACGATCCAGCCCGAAAATGTGAACCAGAATGGACTTTGTTCCGTTTTTATTATTATTTTAACAAAGAGCTCTGACTGAGCTTTTACCTTTTTATCTACAAAATAACAAAAAGGTCTGGGATCAGTCCCAAGTGAGGTCTTCACACACACAGCAATAGAACTCACAGGACTTCCTTCTGTCCTTCACAATAAGAGCCTCAAACATTCTTCAACAAGCTTTCTTTTCTTTTCTTTTTAATGGCCCAAATTCACAGGAACAATCTGATTCTTTAGAGTATAGAGCCGAGAGAAGTTTGGCATTTAAATTCAAGCTTAATTAAATGAAATTTGAGCTCAACTAGCCAACATGGTACGGCCGTGGCTGATCCTATGATTCCAAGGTCATAGGATTGAGCCACAGTCCCGGCAGGCCATGTGCCCAAGCATGTGATATAAATTGCAGCCCACTGCCCCTTACTAATGTAAGGATGGGTCAAATGAAGACAAAAAAAAAAAAAAACCTCTACTGTAAAGTCTGTGAAACCAGGTACTGTCATTATCCCAGGTCCTTTTTTAAAGGTGTAGATCGCTGAAAAATCAGTTTATAATTATTTCTGATTATAATCGGTCACTCTGAGTTTTTCATGCAGGCTGAACATTAAACACGTCTCCTACACCTATCTGCTGCATTAGCTTCTGATAGAAAATAGATGCTGAAACTCTAGGGCCTTGAAAGCCTGACAGATCTACGGGACACTATCACTTAACATTCATGGGCTCACCCATCTTGACTCGAGATGGGGAAGGCAGATGTTGGTTTAGTGTCCAGGAAACAGCAGAGAAGGACTCGGCTGGTAGAAGCTGAAGCTCCTTTAGGCTTGTGTTATTTGTGGAGATATAAATCAACGTTGCAGAGAAAACAGAGTCAGTGATGGAGTCACATTGCTACTTTCCAATCCAGATGTCCAAATATCAGGAAATAAGACTCCAAATCCTGTCAGCTGAAACTACTTTCTCCTCCAGCTGAATGCTAACGCGGAGGTGGGAGCTAAGCTAACGATGGTAGCAACCTAGCTACAACTGGAGTTAACTGTGCATAACACCAGAGCTTCTGAGTCAGAGATACGCCGGGCTGACCGCTGGATAAAACCGGGTGGAACACAGAGGTCTCCAAGAACTCCACAGAGGTCTCTGAGACCTCCACAAGCCGGCAGCCGCACAGCAAACAAGCGCCGCTGCGATCTGAGATGTGCAGAGCTGCCGCTGGGGAGAACCGGGTGGAAAGGTTTCCATCCCAGAGCTCCACAAGCCGTCAGCCCACGCAGCAAACAGAAGCCGCGATCAGACAGAGATGCGCCGAGCTGCAGGGAGGGGAGAACCGGGTGGAAAACATCGGTCCCCCGAGAGCTCCACAAGCCGATAGTCGGAACCCAGCTCCACCAACATGTTATATTTCAACCCATTTTCTAAAGTGCAGCATTATGTTAAATGCACTGGGTTTTACCCTATTACATTTAAATTTCATGGTTAAACAGTACATGTTAACATCTAAGCTCAGCAGTGACCTAAAATACATAAATATAATTTTACTTACCGAAAAAAATGAAGTGGAGACTCCTTGGACGCTCTATTAGTGCAATTAATGCCACAGCAAGTCATTGTGTCCAACAATTGCACAAATAATATCCAAAGAAGAATGCACAAACACACAGACTCAAAATCCTGGAGCAGTTTCCAGGCCAGACCGAGGCTCTACTGAGGCCTTTCCACGGAGCTAGCTCTGTGGTCACGTGGGTCTGATGCTCATTAATTATTCAGAATTTTAGGCTTTTAATACACTTAAACAGAAGAGTGAGAAAAAAATTCACCCCCCTCAGAGTTGTCATGAGTGTAAACTAGATAATTTAAACAAAAAACACGTTTTGGAACCAGGCTGTAAACATGTTTATTTCTGCTGTGAAATTGGTATTTTTAACATGGGAGTCAATGAGGATTTGCTCGTTTCTGACACCAGCGGATGAGGGTGGAACTGCAATTTATTTCATTTCCGGGTTTGCCTCAATTTTAGAGCCGCATTGTGGGGGCTTGGTGTGAAATTGTTAAAAGTCAAGTTAATTTTGAAGAAGTAAAACATTTTTTCTAACTTGGTCATTTGATCAAAAATTAGTTGTTGTTTTAAACAAGGCGGTTTAATGTTTTGTGCATGATAACATTTTCTTCCTTACTTAAGGGACTGGTTCTTGTCCTTGGCCTTGGGCTCCAACACCAGCTTGGCACTCTGACCCACCGTGAAGGCGAAGGTACCCTGGACATGCTGAGGATAACGCAGCTTGTGCAGGTGTTTCCTGAAACCTTCAGCCAGGTCTGATGCAACCTCTTCATCAAACGCAATCTTGATCAGCTGCAGATGAAAGAAACAAGGATTTTCTGTCAGCTCCAAGCTCCCGATGTAGATGTTCAGAGAGTTTGAGTAAGACGGAGAGATCAAGATACCTGAAAGGTGCAAGATCGTAGCTGGAGCCCCTCCTGGACAAACTGGTCCATGGATAATGTGACTGAGATTCTCTTCTCCTTAGTTAGAGAGGCGATGGGGAAGGAGCGGGTCACTATCTGCTCACCCACTGTAGAAAAACACAACACAGAAACAAAAAGAGACAAGATAAGCAGGTGTACAAATCCAACAAACCTTGGAGAACCTTTTCTCTCTCTCTCACCCAGTGGGTCGGACGGTGTTCCCTTGAAAATAAGGCGGTAGGTTGTAAGAAAGATAGCGCCCTCAGCAGGAAGTAGAGGCGGTCCTCCCATCTGCCCTGTTGACTCTTCTCGGCCATCTGGGATCAGGTGAACCCGCATGCCGTCCATCACCAGCTCCTCACCAGGTAACAGAGTCGGCCTCAGCAGCTTGGGCTGCACGAAGAAGAAAAAAGAAAAGAACAGAGATCATCCAAAAGTGAACAAACGCAGAATTTGTTGATGCATCTTTTTTATTGCTTTTAACCATGTTTGGATTTCTATCTAAACCTTAAATAGACATGAGTCAGGGCAACACTAAAGGGCATGTGAGGGAAAAAGCACATCAAACGCCAGAGTCGTGCTTTCGCAGCCATGCTGGTGTTACTGGGCTCTGTACTGTTTATGAAGTTAATCATAAAGTATAAATAACCAAACCACACCACAGTCAGGGAGATCGTGACCTTTGTTTTTAAATAGGGTCATAACTGAAATTAATAATGAATATAATTAATTAATGTTTGTCAATAAATCCCTTCATCAAGGTTTTCACACAGCATCATGGGGTTGTAGTTCTGCCAAAACAGATATAAATCCTCAGATAAACTATAAACTAATACAGCTGGTGCATTTTTCAAAAGGAAGAGTTGATTCACAAAAGTACAAATTTAGTACAACTGAGGAAACCACGTAGTAAACCTGAATGTGTTCAAGTTTCTTTAAGGTTTAAAAGATGACTAACTTTAAAGACCCTGTGGAAACTCAGAGTGCTTATCTAAATAATAAAGCAGTTTGCGTAAAGCTCAGCGTAGCACCCCTCCCTCTCCAACATGCTGCATGCAGAACCCTTCAGTCTGAAGGCACTCGGCTCTAAAGAACCTCGAGGAGCTGCAGCACACCGGCTGGGCTCCTCCAGCTTCCAGAGTTCACCCAGCATGCACTGCTCAGGCGTGCCGTGAGTCACACCGCTCTGTCTCTGGTGGACAGACGTACCTTCCGTGACACTGTGAGCCTGAGCTGTAGGGATTGGTGGAGAGGGGAGTGGGCTGGGCTGGCTGGGGTTCTGCAAGGCCTTTGTCCAGTGGGATGTAAAAAAAGGAATTGGTTACCTTTTGGATCGGAGGCAGTCTCTTACTCTCTCTGTGGACTGCATCTAGCGTCTCGATGTGCATCTGTACGATATCTGCAGAGACACAGGATGGAATGAAGCTCCCATGTTGCTCCTGGTGTTCCACACAGACACCGGCGAATGTAGGAGCGTACCTGGTATCATGATGTGGAGAGCCTTCAGGTGCTCGTTTGTCACTCCGCTCTCGTTGCACACTTTATCAACGAAGCGGTTGATAAAGCGCACCACTGAGTTGGCCACATCTGAACTTTCTGCATCCTCAAAGCCACTCTCTGTGTCATAGCTCTCCGCCATACTGCCTGCAATACTGAGAGATAAACAAACCCGATGGAACACTTTTTTCTGGACTCTAAACAACCAGACAGACGAGTGTCTGGCAGGTTAAAAGAAACCCTGGTAGGTTCATCACTGTACCACCCTCTTTTGTGAATGACTGATGGGATCTCGGTCAGACCTTCTTCCCCCTCTTTACCTATTTGTGACGTAGCTGTTGCTGACGCTCTCCACGTCACCGAGCCCGGAGCTCCTCAGCAGCCGGTTCTTGCTGGTGTCCAGCGGCAGCAGCAGGTAACTCATCCTGTTGGCGTAGTGGATGGCCTGGCTGAATACAGTGCTCTCCTCCTTCTGCACGCGCTCCATCTGCAGCTCCTTGCTGAGCGTCAGCCACAGCCGGTTCTGCTCTGCAGCCAGCTCTAAGGCACTGACTTCTCTTCTGCTTCCCGACCCATCCTGCTGCCCGTGACGAGAAATCAACATCAAATGTAACTGATCTGCACCCAGGCTGAGATGCTGATCAGCTTAGGACCAGAAGCTCAACTTTAACAACACAACATCAAATCAGTCGTACAGGGGGAGCAGAGGAGACAATTACAGAGTTGTTCTGCTGATCTCCACCATCCGTCTCTAGGTACAGGGCCTTGATGTGGTTCTGGACATCACTGTAGAACATGGCCTCCCAGAACTGCATGTTTGTCCACACCATGTGCTCCTGGACACAGCTGTAGGCAAACTGAGTGATGCCTGCCCCCAATTTCTGTCCAATCAAAACACAGAGACAGTTTTGAGGGAGAAGCTGAGTCAATGTCATCTTATAGTTCTATAGTTGAGGAAGATCTCAGAAGCCTTGTGAGAGACAAGTTCCCTCACTCAGACAGTTAGAAACGTTTATGAGACAAATGAGACACAAACAGGAAAAGTGGTGACCAACTTACTCGGCAGAAGGCAGTGATGAGGGGGAGCAAGGCTGCTGCAATCCCATGCTCATCCATATGTGAGCAGTCCTGCACAGGAACACATGAAAAATCAATTCAGGCAGAAAGAAAAGATCAGTATCCAGAAAAGATAAATTACACATGTGATCTTTCATTAAGGTTAAAACATTCATGCCTCTCCCTTCCAGTCCCACCCCACCTGTTCTCTGCTCTCAGTTTTAAAATCTCCAGTTGGTGTAACTGGTGGAGGTGAACCAGGACAATATTACAGAATGGTTTAAATGAGTTTGAGCGCTGACATTAGGAGGTGTGCCGTCTCTCCGGACGCTCACCTGTAAGGTGCAGTTCATCATGCGCACAATGTAGTCAAACTGCTGGTCGTCCAGTACGGCCCGGTTCTGCAGGACGTGTTGGTTTAGCTCCTGGGTCAAACAGACTCGGGCTGTGCGACCTTTCAGTGCTCGCAGAACTGCTGGCATCAGCTGAGCAAACAGAAATGTTAACGCCATTTTTAACATAGTTAAACATTCTCAAATGTCACCATCCATAAAGTAAAAGTAAAACAAACACTGACATGGCAGATCTCTCAACCCTCACCTTCTTGGCTTCCAGCATTTTGTTCTCAAAGATGTATGTGATGCAGTTCCTGACCACCTCCAGTCTGCGAGCGCTGTTTGCCATCACGTTACTGTTCCTGTCCACGATGTCACCTGTGGGGAAGGAAGCTCGTTCATTACCACTGACCTGAACTCCTCACTGAACCCTCACTCGGAGGGCGAATGAAAAGTTCACACAGAAAGTGTGAGCCCAACAGAAGAACTTGGTTTGAACATATTTTTAGTAACTAAAGACTCAAACTGAACAACCGCCTCTGTTCCAAAGACCCCACCAAGTGCTTTTTTGGATTCCTAGTTTGATTCTACTTAGTATTTCAGTGAAAAATGTTTTTAAAAAGGCCAAAAATGTTTTAGTTCATCTTTGTTGAGGACTTGAGTGAAGCAGCATCAGCAGAATGGCTTCCTCGTCTCCCTCTTCATTTGTTTGACGTTCAAATCATGGGACAATCTGCAGCTTTCATGCTGGTAATGGGGTTTAATCAAAGCTAAACTGGCAGATTACACGTTTCCATGGCAACAAAGGCAAACACACACTGGACCTTGGTTGTACCAACAGATGTCAGGACGACACAGCAGAACATTAACAAACAGAAATCCGCTGGTTGTACTCTGGAACTCATGAAGACGCTAACAGACATTTTCATTGTCTCCACGTCCCTGCCTGTCTTGTTTAAGGGGTCAACTATTGTCCCCGTCTCTAAACATCCAGCTGCAAAAAAAAAAAAAAAAAAAAAACGTTCAGTCACTGATTGCTCAGTTGTCATGTGTGGAACTGCCTTTGGGCCACATCATGACTCAGCAGACATGACTGCAGACCTACAGCAGTCTCCACACAGGAATAACCAGTCTGATGTAATTGACGTCAGCTGTCATCCAACCTTCTGCCACTAACATGGAGCTTCAGGACTTTTTTGGACTTCCGTTCTGCATCAAACACCATATTTCTACAGACACTAGTAAACAAACTTTCTAGGACTGAAACAATCATTCTGATGGTAAGAGCACAGTCTCTCCCCAAGCATGTGTCCTGAAACCCCTCAGAAACACTCACCTCACAAACTCTTGCTCCGCAAGATATCCTGGTAATCACTTTCAGTGCGTTTACATGTGCATCCAGGTCAATCTAAGTCAATATATGACAATAAACTGGGAGTCTTTATCCTAGTTTACATGTATTTTAAAACACCAAACTGTCAAATGAAGTTTGTTCCAATCTGCTACGATAGATGGCGACACGTGCCCTTTCATGTCGCCATTTTTCTGGGCAGCTTATAGCAACACAAATAATAAATAAAACTCTGGCAGGAGTGAAGCAGGTGTAGTAAAAATAGGACAGGAACACGGCTGAAGGAATGGACAACAACAATGCTGCAGCGTAGCTTATTTGGTACGTACTCTACTGTTGGATGGTGTCACATGTGTTACTTGGAGGCAATGATATTATCACGTCATAGCCAGAAGGTGAGTGTTCAACTGGTACCAGCCCGACCGAGCCGTTTACCTGCAGATGAAGTCGGGTCTTGTAGCATTATCTGGGTGCTTCAGCACGATTTGAATCAGTTCGCCTTCAGCCAGAATAACGCACTCATGTGCATTTAAAAGACTTCAGACGCTTTCAGGCAATAGTTTGGTTTTCTGATGCTCATGCACATGTGCCAAGTGTGACAACAAAAGCAATGGGTCCAATCTATCCAGCCTGGAAACTACCTACAGCAGTATCAGCTCACCTAGCGGTGGCCCTGATGGCACCATGCTCTTAATCTCTGCCTTGACCACAGGAGGTGCGTTTTTTAGCCTGGCAGCAGCATGATCGATGAAAAGCTGCACTCCGACCTCATCCAGAGCAGGAAAGGTGGTCTGAATCTGTGAGGTGTTCTGACCGTTGTCTGATGGTCTCTGGATTTTGTGCATGGCCACAGCAGGGTAGGGGTTCTCCTGGAAGGACACCAAAGATGAAAAATAAATAAATAAATAAAAAAGACAAATCCCTCTGGGATTAATGAAGTATTTTTGAATGGAATAGAAATGGGTTTGGACTACTGCAAAAACATCTTAAGCTACTGACATTTTTAAAGAGTTGCTCTGCTAGCTCCTTGATGTGGTTCATGACTTTGTGTGGGCAGGCCTCCTCTTGTCGTATTCGCTCCACCTGGTTGGCAACAAGCTATGAAAACACAACAAACTTCAGCATCTCTACACCACACACGGAAATATTTTTGTTTTACCATGCAGAAAATGCATATTTGAATTTCTTTATTCTATTTTAAAAGGCCTGTATCACCATATTTTAGGCACAATATAGGACAAAATATTACTGTTGGCACTATTGAGATGTAATTTTTTTATGAAACAACTTAATTTCGTGACTCATTCCTTCAACCTGGAAATAGGATGCTTGGGTTAGATAAAACCACGCTTCCCCTTGTGTGAACTCCACAATAATACACAGCCGCAGACCCGGAGACTGCAGATTCACCATCATGTCCCAGTTAGCTGTTATATGAACAGCAGTTTGTTTATTTTCCTGTAATGTATGCTAACTGTTGCCCTCTCACATCATCAAACAGATCAGTGGCTCTGTAAGGAGGGCCCCTCTCCGACACGAAGCCCGCAAACGCCATGCCGTCTAACACCTTGGTGAGGAAGTCGTCCTCCGTCAGTGCCCTTTGACCCAGGAAGGCCGCCTGTAGAAACACAGCTGACTGTTAGCTTCTCACACAGAGTGTAGAGTTACTTCATTATGTTCATGTACCTTATGGAAGCGGATCACAGGCTCAGGGTGGATGCGGATTATATGTAAACACCAACGGTAGCCATGGAAAAGCTGAGCAAACAGCCACAGGAAAACTGCTCGGATTTCCTTATCCTGAAATAAACACCAGTTAGGTTGTCCGAGACCTGCTGGTCTGAAAGTAAAGGCGCTAAAAAGATCTTTCCTGTTGTTTCTACTGCTGTTCTTAAAATTAGGCACACAAATGACCACAAAACAAATGAAAGAAATGAACAAAACATCTTTTCTTGCCTGAATCTTTAGTGCAGAAGGTTGAATGGAGTGTGGGGGGAATGCATGATCAGCAACTTCCAGCTCTGGATCCAAAGCCTGCAAGAGCAAAGACTCAAAGCTGTCAGAAACCATGTGGGGCGACCTTTTCCTGCCCTTCTGGACCTGATCCGAGGTCAGATAAAAGTCTGAAATAACCAAGACTCAGTGAGTTGAAATAATAGCAGCACAAACAACTGGATCAACCTAAAGATTTGATGTTTTTTTTAATCTAATTTGGAGCAATCAATATATTTTCATCATAAAAGCATGAAGCACTGTATTTAAATTATCAGGCTACATTCACTCTGTAGGTCTCAATGGTCAATTCAGATTCTTTTTAAATAAGATATGATTTTTCTGTGAGATTTTCCACATCATGGCTTAAATGCAACACCCACCAGACTCCAGTGTGAACAGCGTACGGCCTTGATGTGACCCCCGTGTGCAAAAGAGGGCGTGCAGCATGCATCGCCACACGGAGGCTAGTAAACATGGATGTAAGAGAGGATTAGCGAGTGAATCATTACTAAAGTTGTTGTTCAGGTGAAATGACGAAATAGGGTTCGAGTGATAAAGAGGAGCTTGTTTTGTCGATTGTTTACATTTGATCTCACTGTTCCTCTTATGCAGGCTTGTGAAGTCTGTCACGCGTCAATGACGTAAAGGTCAGATGAAATGTGACCTGAGTGTTCAGACTGAGGTCACTCTGAAAAACAGATGTGTATCTGATTTAGGACCACATATAGAAGTGATCTGGGTCAATGATGGTGATGTGTAGATTGTCATGAAAAATCAGATCTGTGTCAGTCTGTCTGTGGTGTGAATTTAGCCTTTGGGGATATTTTGTGGATCTGTTAAAGGTCCTATATAGTTCTTTTGACCATGTTTTATTGTTATTTCCTCGTGAAAAACACACAAAGCAGTTTCTGGCTTCATGCATTTTCCTGTCTCAGCTGCTTCTTCTGTTTAGCTCTGCACATTTTTTCTAAGCCAATGCATTCAGCTGGATGGGCTGATGAAATGCATGAAAAGTCTGTTTTTAAGGTTTATCTTGAAATTTATTGTCATTCATTTTGACCAAAGCTTATAAGACACGAGTTAGATTTCATAATTTGAATACATTTCACCTGGAAAACTCACAGGAACTTTTGGGACCCTGATAGTTTAGAATCAAGTTCCTCCCAGTTGTCTTTATTCAGAGACCAGCGCCTCTAACACACTAAACTTGTTTCAACCCACTTATTCAGAATGAGCAACACAACAGTCTCCAGGTTTAAAGTCATACAGCACACAGGGCAGCTACAGGCAGAAAAACAAAAACAAGCAAAACGATCCCTAAATTCCACAATGACATGATTCATTTTGGATTTATTTTTAATATCATGACCCGAGCCAGTGGGTCCTAGTTCAGGGGCTTTCCGCAGAACCACTCTGACACAGAAAATCTACTGAAGATTTGCTGACATGAATCAATGGAAACACATAAAAATAATGCCTTTTGCAACCTAAGGGGGCAGTCTAATTACTGGCAGCTCTCCATGAAGTGAACCTATACATCAACCTTAAATGGAGCCAAATAACAAAACCACCTCAAAATAAATAAAAAACGTGAACAATAAAATAAACACAACACACTCTGGCTACTTTTCTTGTGGTTTCTGTAATAATTGGTCAAAGGTCATGAAGTGTTTGGATTACAGGCATTTAAACAGCAATGTTGCAGAGGGCTGCAGACACACAACATGCAAAAAATGTTTTTGATTGACGTTTGTCTTTAAATCCAAAGTGTTCCAACACAAATTAACTATTGTTTCTGTGTAATAAATACCGCCGTTGTTTGCCAAAATGTGATTAAAGATTTGATTAACTGCACACCCCAAATGAAGAGCATAGTTACATTATAAGTAGAATAAAACTACACACCACAGAACGGTGCATTCACTATCATAGGAAGATTTATACTTATAATTAAAGAATAAACGTTACGAGTCAAGAAGTTATTTCCTTTGGTTGAAAAAAATCATACTCATTAGAATGAATTGAGATTTATGATTGAAGGGTTAAAGAATTTAAATGAAAAATAAAGTTGGTGCGGTCTACCTTCTGGTTTCTGTCTATTTATATATCCTAAGAATAACATAATGATAAATGTGACTTTTCGGCTCATTTATAATTTTAAGCTGCAATGGCACATTTGGAAAAAAAATTAGCAGAAAATTTTTTTTCGTGCCTCCAACAACGTTCTAACATAGTATAGATATAAATATATTGTGGATACATTAAAATGAATAAATAAATAAAATACAATTTAAAAAAGGCCCAAAAAAACCTGATGAAGTTGTTTTCTCGTTTTCTTCGTCTAAAACCCCCCGCCAATAACACGTTTCAGACCAAAGGCAACTATAGGACCGTACGGTTTTCCTGGGTCCTCTATACATAACACACTCGTTACGCATTCATTACGCACTTTAGGACAAACTACCAAAGTCCCAAAAACAAAAACATCATTTGAACTCATGGACAACAAAAGAAGTACCTAAAAAACCACGACTGGTGTTAAGAGCTCTCATTTCCTCTGGCTATCTGGGTGTCCCGTTTCCTGCAGAAGCGCCTCAGGGAAGATACCCGAGGGGTGGGGTGAGTATTCCAAAGTTAAAGTTGAAGTCCCATTAGTTGTCACACACACTGATGTGTGTGTGAAATTTGTTCTCCGCATTTGACTCATCCCCTGGGGGAGCGGTGAGCTGCAGACACAGCCGCGCTCGGGAATCATTTGATGGCTTAACCCCCCAATCCAACCCCCTTAATGCTGAGTGTCAAGCAGGGAGGCAATGGGTCCCATTTTTTCAAAGTCTTTGGTATGACCCGACCAGCAATCGAACCCTGATATCCCAGTCTCAGGGAGGACACTCTACCACTAGGGCACTGAGCGTGTTTGCGATGAAAACCTTGCTTGTTTGAAGATTCACCATATCAGCTTTAAGTCCCACAAATTCACTGTGGTGCATTCTCTGAATTGTGAGAAATTATTCATTAAAACATTCTAACTGCTTTATGAGTACATTTCTTTTTGGAGAAAAAAAAAAAACAAAAACAAAAAACATAACACTCATGAGATAAAAGTTCTGACACTTTCTTTTGTACAGCCTCCTGACACAGATTTGCTATGTCTGAGCTAAGAATGCTAACTTGAGCCTTTCCCTAAATAAACAAGTCCTGTCCTTTGACTCAGTAAACAGAAAAACTGCAGAAAACCCAGATCAGTGCAAGCAAGTGGGTTTTTCTACACAAGCAGTAACCAGAAAATGTGAATCACTCTTTTGTTACTGCAAACCTAAAGGTTTGAACCTGGATCATTACAAACAGGGCCAAGTGTTTTCCCAGAATTGATTGAGAGCAATCACATTTTGTGAAACATTTGTTAAGTTTCTGTCCAGATGGTCCTTAGAAACCTTAACTTCTATGTGGTTATAGCTGCCAAATTCACTAAGAGACTTTAGCTTTGTTTCCATTGCTGGAACTTCAGGGTTATTTTTGGGATGGGGAAATTGACTAGGAGATATGTCTCAGTCCTCTCACCTGTTGTGTCTCTATTCAAATTCAGCCCTTTCAGAGCTTTGCACAGATGTCAGTATACCACGACTGCTTTGGCAGTGAGTGATGTCACTGATGTGCACCAAAAAGCATTTACAGTAGCATTATAATAATAAAAGTTTTATTCTATCAAAGTATATCATAATTTCATCCATTCAGAAGACGAGAGCTGCTGTGTGATGTGATGTAAAATGTGTGAATGACAGCACCACCTATGTTGGGTATTTTTATAATTGTAAATTTTTGAGGCCTAAAAGATGCCCATTTTGTGTTATTAACACTTCATGAATCTCTTGTGCCTGTTTATGAAAGGTTGAGCAGAGAAGTATGTTTGCAGTCAAGGATGTTGATTGTGGATTTCCAGGATGTTGATTGTAGATTTCCAAGGAAACCTCTGTACCTCTGTAACCTGAGAAGGCCCGCCTTCTCCTCCATCCTTTGTGAATAAAGCCCCTGGCGAACTGGGAGCACATGGGAGTGACGTGGGGAAGCCTCGGAGGAGGTTCCTCTACGTTAACTCTCCATTTATTTTGGGGACTCAGGGTAAAATGTCTTCCTTGTTGTCATGTGTGTTTATTTCAGGTTCCAGGGTTATGGAGATTAAATATTACCTAACATTCTGGTCTCCTGATGGAGACCGCGGGTATGCAGAGCTGGTGAGGTGAAGGCTTTGAGGCTGGAGCAGAATGGGGGCTGGTTGGTTAAGTCCAGCTTCTCGCATGTTGATTCGCCCACATGGACATTACAAATAATCTCTCTCTCTCTCTGTGTGTCGTCCTTTAAGGTAATATGGGATAAATCTAATTACCTATCAACCTACAAAAGTGAAAAAGAAGCCCCTATATTGACCCTTTTTAATAAGAGTGATGAAATTTGGTACACTTGTAGAACTTGCCAATACGCACAGAAAAGTCTCTTGCACCCATGGTCAACAACAAACAAGAAGTCGGCCATTTTGGATTGAATTAGCGATTTTGACCCCGTTTTGGTCGATTGTAGGGTCTCTATTTGATTGAACAGTTTGGTCATTTTTTGCATTATCATCTTAAAATATGTGTGCGATCGATCTGATGGGATGGGCGATTGAAATGAGAAAATAAAATTTATTTTTTGTGAATACTGAAGGGGCGGGGCCAGGCCCCGAAGTTCCATCACTCGCCAAAAAATGTAAAATAGCTATGATTTCATAAATGAAAAAAATTACAGTTACAAATTTTTCTATGGACATTCCTCATCGGTCCCCAAAAGCAAATGAATGGTCGGTTGATGATGTTACACAAGCCCTGCCCCCTTAGGACCAAAAAGGTCAAGTTTAACTTGGAAATTTCCCAAAATTCCTGATTTCATATAATCACCACAAACTTGTAGCAGGTAACTGAAGACAAGTTGGGGTTGGTTGGCGTCACTTTACGGGACCTTTCAAAAGACAAAAGAAAGACGGGGCTGTGATGGCGCGGCTAAGT